AATTCTCCTGACAGACCATAAATACCGATGGCTTGTGGGTGATTCGTAGGTAAATTAAAGGGCCATGCATCTCATTGTTGCACCTCCTCTGTCACTCATACGTAGGAGTCAACCCATGCTAATTCAATTACTTATATCTCTTAAGTAGGGCAATTATAGGATTTAATTGGTTGGCGAGTGGTTGATTAGATAGTTAACACAAGCTTGATTAGAAAGGTGCTACAGCACCTTTCTGATCAGGGATCAGGGATGGGGGGTGGGGGGGGGGCATTAGGGGAACTCAGATCTTTTTAAACAAACACAGGTCCATTTATATTTGTAGGATCAAAAGAAGACGGTGGGGAGTTTTTCTGTCTCCATCCGTCACCGCGTCTCCCCGGGCCGTTAAGTGTATGAATTGTCTTGGGTTTTCTCTAATCTTTCATTTTACAGCTGACAGCGAAGACGAATGAAGCAAGAAAGCTTGGCCACCACACAAAGGCGAGGCCCACCAGACGAGGCCCAGCCACTCCTCACGCTCCCCCCTCGTCCAGGCGTTGTTGCTGGCAGAGCGTTTGCTTACTCCTGAGATTTTACCGTATAAATGTCCTGAATTCGTGGGATGCATATTTAATCGCACTCACTAATGTACAGATCCATAGAATTGATCAGCTCCATATAGAAGCTGGGAAGGATTATGGTATTTTCTTCCTCAAGCACACCTACAGACCACTGAATAGAGTGCCATGCTTTTGGGGGGCGGCGTGGGCCGTTAATGTAAACGCGACACGCGCGGCAAAGAGAGGTCTTTGAAGAGACGGCTCGAGGGGGAAAAAGGTACGGCTGTGCTGCAACGACGAGGCCTCACGTTGCCAAGAACACCACGCGGAGGTCAATGACGCCATGAATCTCTCTATGTACATATACATAATTGTGTCCTTTTTCCTTTGATGTTTATATTTCAGAGAGACGCCCTAGTCGACAGCACACGATCACACCCGACTACTCCCTCCATGATGACACCACCTCACAGGCGCGTATGTGCAGGAGCAAAAAGAGAACGTCTCAGTCCATCTGAGCTCGTCAGCAACGAGGCGCTTAGTTAATTGCCACGTTAATTAGCCTTATCATCAAAGAGCGCCGCAGTGCTGACTGCTGGGAAAAACTGGAAGGGAAAGGTGTTTTTTTTCTGGCTTCCCTTTGGATTCAGTGAGCAAACAGGATTCATCTTCTGTTACTGATCTGCTGTCAATGATTCATGGCTTTGTTTTCGTCCTGTTCTTAAAGCATATGAGCGCTGTGAAATCATTGTGGTTTTATACCAGGACACAGATAGTGTTTTTTTATTACGTAAGAGGGACAGGAATCTTCATGTTGGTATATTAAGTGGCATTTATTTGTTGAGCTATTGCCACAACATGCCTCGGCATGGGAGCTGATGAACAGTGTGAGTGGAGAGTAATGACATATATATATATACTCAAATAGCATACACGGCAGAAGGAAATGCACTCATTTACACATATAATTAGTACAAGATAATACAGAAGCACTGAAAACAGATCCCACGTTTCACATTGAACCCACATCGAAAAAATGAGCGTATTTTCTAGTAACCTTTAAGTCCAATATTGATTATCTCATATATCCTCTCCTGCTTTTGTCGCCACTAAATTGGCTCTTTAATTGTTCCGCTACTCGTCAGTTCTTTAGTTCTCATGTTTGGTGCGAGTTTACGTTGATGTTTCCTCCAAAAACATCAACAAGGTTGTTGGGAGCAAAAGCAAAATGCTGAAAATGTTTACAGAGAATAAACGCAGAGGATGAAGACTGCTAGTGACCATTTTCATAATAAACATAAGGCTTTTCATTTTATTCTAGCTTTAAGAACACTTGTTTTTCGTAGTTGTTTGGCCGAGTGTGTGTGTGTAAGATTCTTGCCTAACGAGTTCACGTCTAATCGGGTGCTTTGCAGGTTGATCTGATGCGATGTGATGGATGTGTCTGGAGAGACGGACCTCAAAGTCGTTAATTGAAAATTGAGACAGTGTTGAGAGGATGTTATTGATTTCCATACTTGAGCGAGCAGCGTGCGGAAGTCCGGGGCCATCGAGGGGGTGGTGGGGGGGGGGGGGCTGCGAAGCGGTGACCAGGGAACCACAGCGGGCTCACAGGAGGAAAGAGAAAATGGAGAAATGGGGGATGGGGGTGGAGGAAGAGGACCAGAGGAGAGAAGAGGATCATGAGGTGAGGGAATGCGGTAAAAGTGGGGTTGAGGGATGGACATTACGGGGCCTTTAAACGCTTGGGAACAGAGCAGCATCTTTTACGTCAGGAGAATAACCCTAAACCTCCGTCTACCACGAAGCCAATGACGGCTCACAGCTGAGGGAGCAGCTCTGCTGACCTGCGCCTTTTCTCCACTGCATCGATCAGCCTGGAGCGAGCGGGTCCCCAGGCTGTTTATAAGTCAACATAAACCCACAAACCCTACAACCAGTTCTCAAGTAATCAATATAGGTGGGAATCGTGTTTACTCCTGTGTTCCATGGCCTTTAAAATGTCGCAGATGAAGAGGCTCCCACCGCTTTTCATTTTCTCCATCATGCCGCCTCCGTTTGTCAAGCACATAAACATGTAGACACAAAGACAAACTGTGCTGTATGTCAGCGTGTCGCTGGTGGGTTTATAAAGGTGGTTTGAAGGCCGAGGGCCAGAACACATGATCAATATCTTGTCTTCTCCTTCACACTGCGTGTGCACACTCGGTTTTGTGCTTCCTAGAGTTTGGGTTTAAACTGGCGTGATTCAAACCGACCTTTCTTCTCGTGGTCAAATACAGCGGTTTATTTAAACGGCCATTTGCGGGCGCTTTTGTGTTTTGTCGCTGTTGTCGTCCTCTGCCTGTGGTCAGATTAGTCGACACATTCATTGAGGCCAGGTCTGACAATTGCTGGCCATCTCCACCATCCTTCATTTCTTTTTGTTGACCCTTTAAACACGCAGGGGCTATTTATGGATGCGGTCCACACTGTGGTACAAACGGCTCCTGAGGAAAGCCCCGAGGGAGCGATGGAGACCAGGGCTCTAAATGGAAGGCTTGGAGGAAGGGATGTGTGTTTGATCCTGGGCTTACTGGTGTAGCATCAATAGGCGGCTCGGTCCAAATTACCATTTTGGCCATTTTCCCCCCTCCCGCTGTGGTCAAATGACAAAGTGACCCCATTGTCTAGTGGGGGGAGTGAAAAGGAAACAACCCTCCTATGTCGGGTGGGTCCGTGTGTTAAGACTTCAAATATGATCTTTTTTTATTTGGAAGCATTGTGAACAGTGCAGTTTAGTGAAAAAAAAAAATAATGTTATTTTTTATAAAACTGTCAATAGATTTTCAACCCAAACTCTGAATCAAACACTCACTCACAGATATCTTGCTTCTATCTTGAAGAACATATACGGCATGAGAAAATGAAAGGAGCTTTTATAAAGGTAAAATATGGGTGCTATTTTAGACGTGTGGTTATACATGATCATCTGCATATAGTGCAGGTTTAAAAAACTGAAAAAAGGTCAAAGTCATTTAAAATCTTCAAAAAATAAAAAAAAGCGACAGCTAAATGAGCTGTAATTTTATGTATTATGCAACAAACGGCATGTCAAATTCCATGTAGGACTAACATATTTTGGCAATAAAAGTTCCTGATTCCAGTTTCCAAAAGAAATAATCACAGAAATTCCAGGTAGCTGTATCAGTAGTAACGATGGACAAAGATAAGGAACATAAATGTCTCATATCTGGGGATTTATCTTGGGATCCCTCAGTCAGAGCTGGTAGCCGGGAAAGGTTTGGGGGCCGCTGCCGGAAATGTTGTCCCCTGCGACCCACCCGGGGTAAGCTGTTAAAGACGAGATTAGAGAGGAGATGACACAAGGTCAGACATTTTTCACTATTATATAGTTTTGTTTCACTCAAAGGAAACACTGTACACACACACACACACACACACACACACACGTGTGTGTGAGTCACCCCCCTCCGGTAGAAGACCATGACACACACTGACGGATAACCTTCCAACCTCCCACACTCGTCGGGAAGCTTCCTAGGAACTACTGCTTCGGGGAAACATTCCTCCAAGTTACTCTAGCGGATAATTTATGTGGGAAGACAGTTTTTCCAGCTGAAACGACTGCGGCTTGTCTTGACCTGATTCCAAGTGAAAAACAAGACAGTTTAGTAAACACCTGGAGGAGGCAGCAGCTTGTCCGGCTCCCTTCACTCTTATCAGCCCTGCAAACGTATTCAACTTCTCACCGGATCGGTCCACCCACATTTAACAGAAGGGTCTTTTCTTACTTTGTTCTAGTTATAATTAACAACTATAGCTGATTTTTCTCCACGCATCACAATCTTCAACAGTGGAATACACACACATCAAGCCCACATATCTACTCAATCCACGGACCTTTTTACAGTTTGTAAATGATGAAGTGTGGCAGTTTGGAAACAAAAGCACAGCGGAGTGCAATAGATTCGCACTGGTAACAACTACTTTTTTTGGGTGTGAATGCTGTGAAAATGGGAGTTTGCGGTTAACACCAGTTACTATAAAGTTTAATCGAACCCACAAAGCACAACATGTGAATAGCAATGGTTTTATCTAGTGTTTAATTAAGTTTCCAGCTGAAAGTAGGAATGATTACTTAAGAGTTGAACAAATGTTTTATGCACAAATTCGGAAATTTGTCCATTTTCAATACTAAATTATTTTTCCAGGGAAATTAGAAATATTTCCATCATAGGAATGGTATGAAAATGTATATAAATTAGACGAAATATTTGAATCAAGTTTCTACTATAAAAATTAGTGAGGAAAAGTGACAAAAATAATAGTGAGCTTGCGAGACCCAATGATGACAGAATCTGAAAAACTACCCAACGGATACAGACTCTTATGCATCAGAATCTTTGAATTTAAATAAATTAGATTTTATGTGTGCATGCACAAACATTAACGCTGGCATTGACACAATTGTGCTTTATTGCTGTACAGGTAGACTTATAAAACAGTGGAAACATAATGATGAAACATCACATACAATCTTTTCTATCCACAACCACATATTATGCCTGTTAAAAATGTCATGTACAAAAGAAACATTACCATAAAATAAAAAAATAAAAAAAAGAACACTATGAAAGGCAGTGAGATGCCCCCATTCAGATGCTAAAATATTGTGTCTCCAAACGGCTGTAAGTGGACTAGGGACAACAAGTTGGCCAATCGGCACTGGCTGTAGCACCAGAGAGCGGATCTCAGAGACGAGCGTTTTAGATTCCGTACTAACGGAAGCGACTGGCAGATGACCAACGCATACAACAGAGCTACGGCCGGGGATCGTATCCGATGCAGCCGATATGCTAAGGTGGATGTAGATGGATGGACAGTGTGGGAATTCACAGTGCAGTAAGGAGCAGTTCACATTAGACAGTCTTTTTCTGCATGAGCACATTATAAAGGCTCAGGCCCAAAAGCGCTGATATTCTTTAAAAGACAATAAAAAAAACAATTCATCTCATTTCATCGTTTCAGTAAACATCCATAATAAACATGAGTAAGCGAACACTTATCATAATGAAGGGCCAATGGAGAGGATGTAAGTTCTTTTATTGGCGTGGATCATAGGCTTGTTCTTGGTTCTTTTCTATTTTGCTTGATTGCGGATACATTAGAGTCCTTGTGTGAACGAGCTGAACCATACTATGATGTGGATGTTTGACATAGTTCTGCATTGCATTACTGCACTATTCATGCAACCCCAATAGCAGCATCCAAAGTGTGAATCATGGAGCAAATCAATAGATTATTAAAAAATGCTGCATCCTTACTAGCCCCTTAAAAGACAAAAAATATATAATAAAACTTGACGCATAACTTCTGAAGACAAGAATCACATTGAGGAGTCAGGTACACTGTAAGATACAGGTGCATGTTTCAGTAATAAGTTACACAGGGTTTCAGGCAGTAACAGTTTAAAATAAAAGTCTATACATTCAGCCAGTCAGTCGAAAGCACAGCTCAGCTCAGTCGCCATCTCTTGAATATCAGCGATCTTCTCTAATTCCTCTTGAATATTTGTGCACCAAGGCGCAGTGACAGCAGCCGAGATCGATCCTGTGATGGGACTGCTAATTCGTAAGGCTGAATCAATCAGTGGGAATGAGAAATCAATTACAGCCATTGATACTTTGTGGCTCTAAACAATCCGAACCGATCTCCGCTGACCAAACAGCTCGTTGAGACACATCCAGCCCATTGAGAAGTCAACAAGAAACCACATCAACATTGTGCACTAAAACATCTGCATCGCATCAGAGGAACTACAACCAAACAACTAAGGATGGATAGCGAATAGAGAATTTCATAGTAGACAATCATTCTGAGAAAAAAAAGGTATTCCATCCTAAAATAAACCTCTTCTCTTTACCTTAGTCATTGCATCTAACCCAAGACATTCTGGAATCTTCGTTTCACCATCATAGACAGTATTATCTTACCTCCTCCTCACCTTTTAATTCTATCTCTGTGCTTCTCCTCTTGTAGTGAAAGCTAGAACATACAACACTGGTCACTATTTACAAAGCAGTTACCATGGAAACACCAGTAGAGCAGGTTATACCCATTGAGAAGGTGTGTGTGTGGGGTGGGGGGTCAATGACCAAGTGGGGGAAGGGGTCTGCTAGTTCGGGTTAAGGGCGGAGAAGAGGGGAGGGCGTGGAAGGTGGAGGAATCTGTACAATAGGGTTTGTCCGTGCGCGAGTTCCTGAGCTCTGCACAATCTCCTGAACAACAACGCACAATTCTTATTTATTTTTCTTCCTTCTGGCCGATCTAGAAACACCACTGAATCGCAGCACCACCTATATTTGGTCATTTAAACTCAGTCTGTACATTTCTATATTCGAGGACTATGTGTGTATATATTTGATCTTAGAACTATACTTGTTAGTTTAGACGCATCTTTCACAAGTTGTGTCACTTTGGCACAGTCTTTGTTCACAACAAACTGTATACCTGCCAGCTAAAGCTCTGTAACTTTGGCGTTGCCGTCACACCTTAAACCAAAGCAGGACTGGTTTTGGCTCTGTTTCCTAGTAAAGGTTAGCGCAGTAGGTGCCATTGAAGCTGGAGGTTTTTATTCCTCAAAAGGCTGGTCGTCACTATGAGAGAAAGAGAGAAGTGCACCCTGGGATATACTGAGGTTACTCTGACCTCTGGTTGCAAAAAGGTCCCATATCGGAGCCAGTCCACTGATGCTAAAAACTGGAGGCGTACGAAGACGTCTGTTGACATGTAAACTTCTGAGCGTCTGCGGCGCACACACACAAGCATTCATGGGAACAGCACAGGACAGCACGTCCAGCGGAATCAGCACCATATTCAAGGGTCCAACTTCTTTGTCTGCAGCAGAACAACATGATACAAAGAGACTAAAAGGACCCTTTAATATCTGACTACTATTAAAACACTGCTGGTCTGATCTTTAATTCAGCCTGGACATCATACTTCTCAGCAGAACTGAAAAGAAAAATCATCTGAATGACTTAAATCACAACCTCATGGACCTTTGCTGTGTCAGAATTCCACATGTTGTTTTGTTTGTTTGGGGTTTTTTTTACAGACAATTGCCGGCGCTACAGAGGGCTGATCTTCGGGGCAATCCTCGAGTCAAGAGGTGCCGAGGCGGCGCTTTGGGCCCAGGGACAAGGCTCATGCTTTGGGTCTTGGAGCGACGACTTCGCCCCTGAGCATCGAGGTCGGATGGTCCACGTATAAAAAAGAAAAGAAAAAGAAAAGCAGGGCCGATGCATAAGAGTGCAGCTCACAACCTCTGTCATGGAGAGGCCTTCCTATTGGTCCAGAGCAGCGTGGGGGGCGGGGACTGGGATGGACGGTGCCTCCAGTCACCCCGCCCCTCACACTGCGCTCGCCGCCATCGCAGAAGCTCCCCAAGGGTGACACTCTGGTCCCTGCTGGACAGACGCAGGCGCTGGAACACCTGGAGCACCGAGGAGAGAAACAGAGCATGTTTACATTTAAAAACACACAGTAAAGAAATGGATGACAGAAAGGTGAAATGACTACGCTGGGATCGGAGGAAGTAGGGAAAAGGAAGTGTGAATGAGAATGTTTTTATAAAAGAAAAAGTAGCTCATTTCATTGCAAAAGAGTCCCAAAACGGACCAAGATATTCAAAAATACCATCATCGAATAAGGCGCCGATCACTGGGCTGGCCTTTCCTATCAAAGTTAACCGGTAACAGAGGGAAGCACTGGGGGATCCCTCCTTTGACTGACAGCGCTACTCCGTTCCATATTCTGTCCCTGGACGCACTAGAAAGAAGGTCCTGTGAAGTACACAGGGGATCCTTGTGCAGCGAGCAACTCCAGTGGCTCCGGTTTCTTCTCGGGTCAAATGCTCAAAAGGTGCACACACGGCTATCGTTCTGTGCAAAGAACATCATCAGTCATCTGCCAGTACACCCCCGTGTAAACTGATCAGACAGGAATTCAAATCGGCGTCTTTCTGGAACGCTCTTTCTGGAAGCAGAGGATGTAATGGGGGCACTTGATGGGCTGTGAAAGTGCAAATAACGGTTCCCTCATGGCCGGAGAGAAGATCTAAAGGATCAGGTGGGCATTACTATACTTTACATTATTCCTACGAACATTCTTACGCTGACCTCCCTATCCTGCCCCAGCACAGCCCCACAGCCCATTGATTCCTCCTGAAGCTGGAAATCTTTAAGAAACATATAGTTCATTACGGAGAGGTCACGTAAATTCCTAAAACACGTGCTGTGGTTTTCAATAGATGTGATTCCAACAGGACTAACTAGTATATTCGTCACAGAGTGTTTTAGTCGAGGATTAATACACATTAACTGCACTAGTGAGTGATTATAGCTGAAGGATGTTGCTCAGAATAAAACCGTATGAATCCTGAATGTCCCCCTGTGCAACAATGACACTATGACAAGTAATACGCTGTATTATCTCCTATATAGTGTCAGTAATGTAAATGCATTTTTGATTAAAGTATTTTGATAGGAGTCATTTCATTGTGACAGTGTATCACCAGTCATGTATTTTTTTAATTTCTCATGAAACCTATTAATCTGTACTCGATGCTTTGATCTCAGTTTCGTGCATTGTTCCCTGTGCCGGGCGTTGCTTCTACCGCCCTCCTTCGCCTTCAGCTAAATAAAGTAAAGCAATAAATAAATTGGAACATTTCCTCCGCATATTGCCACATGCTTTGACATAAACACATAAGCAGGATCATGTGCACATATTTGGACAACCGCACACCTGTGAGTGTCCATATGCACACGCACTCAATCACACATACACATTGATTGACTGCACAAGCACCGTACCCAGTGACCTAATCCATAATTTACACCTCCCTGCCAGGCTATTCTCTGCTCTGGCGCCGGCCAGGAACACCAGCTACTGGAACAGTAGACAAGTAGGAACACCGTGTCCTGCGATGCATGACTGTACATGGACACACACACACACACACACACACACACACACACACACACACACACACACACACACACACACACACACACACACACACACACACACACACACACACACACACACACACACTCTCACCCAGACACTCTCCCAATAATGCAACATCAGATACCAGGACATTACAATGCAATAGTTCTGAGAGAACATTTTAATAGATTCATAGTTTGTGGCCCAACGCAAGGTCATCTGGCAAAAGTATTGAGGCCAAGCTCAACTTTTTACAGATCACATATCCATCCTGAGAGATCATTCAGTATTCTGTTACTCAGACTGTATGACAATTTTGTTCTTTCTTCTCTTACTGGTACCCGAAACACACGCCAATTGAGCTCCTTATATTTTTAATTGTGTTCCCCTATTAGGTGTCATCTATCAAAACTGATATGAATTGATATGAAATTGCTGAAACAATTTAATAAAGCAGCCCAGACATCCTCATACATCTCACTTCTTAACCGCGCCCTCTCTTACAATTGTGTGGGGGAGGGAGCCCATGTCCTGACCAGCATGTTAATGGTTGGTAATGTTATGCTAATAAAATGGTAATGTCGCAAGTGTAGTGGTCACTTCAAACTGTCACTCAAAGACAGAATGCAGTGAGGCCACAGTGTGGCTCAGAAAACCGACAAACACGTGTGTTTTCTAATCCACGCATCACATAAACACCCTGAATGCACATTATTTTCTATATATTGGTGCAGAAAATGAACAGCTCCAGGTGTAAACATCACATCATCTTTTATAAAGGACCTCAGCAAATAGTGTGTATTTCTAGATTTGCCCCACAACCACGAGGAGTAAAGCAAATGGCGGCAAAAAAGAGGCTCTGCTGCAAGGAAGTGATGCCGTTGGTCGCGCAAGATGGTTCTGGGAAATTTGGAATGAGTTACGTTTCAGATTTCACTATGATACTTTTATTCAAAACAAACACTTTAGCACTGACAAACACGGAACACCATCCTTGTCTGTCATTCTCATCTTTATGGTTATTATTCTAAGTAGCAAATATGTGGCACAATCCTCCTCTCACGTGAATCAGAATTACAGCCAAGGAGAAAAACTAAGAATATTAATGTCTATCACCCGTCATTTAGTCTAGACTGCTGTTGACTACTAACTACAGGAACCAGAACAGGCCAGTCCATTCATTCCTAATGGAGTTGTCCATCCCCCTGGTCTTCCTGCATCGTTTCCTGGTCATTTATCCCATTAGATCTGCTAATCCTATACAAACACGGTGTGGAATGCAGCTAATTGAAAGGCATTCTGGGTCACTGAGTCGTTCCCCATCTTTTGAATGAACTCATGGTAATGAACCTGTTCCAGACAACACACCGCATTGCTGAAGTAAAGAATCAAGATACAAGTTAAAGGATACCAGCAACCAACCACTAGTTCTCATGTTTTCTACAGTGAGCTTATGTCAGACAGATGCAGGCTCCTTAGATTGGGACACTTTTAGTCAGAAGTAACTGCACTGACAAAAAAGCACTGAGAAAAAACCTAAATGTTAAGTGCAACCCATCCTCTCACACAAGAACAACGTAGATCGTTTTTCAAATCTTAAAAGAATCAAACAAGTAATAATGTGGATGAAAAGGGGAAATGATGAGCAGGTACACAGATGAGAGAGAGGAGGGCGGAGCAGCAGTGTCACTCATTCTTGCATCCGATTGTTGATCCCAGATAAGGTCTTTTTCCTTTTCTTTTTTTTTAAACATTGGTGTTTAAACACCAGTGTTTAAAAAAAAAAAAAAAAAAGAGCACAGTAAACAAGGGAAGTCGGGGAAGCCAAAAAGCAGCGGTTTTCAAGAGGTTTCCTCTGAGGGGCCACCATCTGAATCTTCAGATTAAAGTAACCAGAAATTCGTCACATAAACTCCCTGCATTAACGGTGCCGTTTCACATTGTTGGTTTGTTTATTTCCAATGTTGGAAAAATATGTATCTAGGGGAGAACTGTCCTTTCAAATGCTCTTTATAATTGGAAAGATAAGTAACTAGCAAATGCAAGATGACCATACTCTTCATTATCCACGAAGGAGACAACTAAACATTTTTAGGAGGGTAACTCCTTCCTAAGAATAGACTGTGTGGAGTATTACCAAGAAAGGGCTCGTTTTTAATGCGTGATCATTCATTTCACGATCCCACAAAGGGTCTATGAAAAGCGCTGCTATTGGGGCCGGAGAGTAGCGAGCAAGGACGTACACTCACCACATCCCTACATGTGAACAGGGCTTCCTGTGAACCCCCCCCCCGAGCCCCCCTCCTCGCTGTTTTAGAGGGCTGCCCCCGCACCGAACGGAGAAAAGTTGAGATGACCCCTCTGGAAGATAAAAGAGGGGAGTGAGGATAACAGCAGAGCTCATTAGAACCAAAAGGAGGAAGAGAGAGAGAGAAAGTCATTTCCATGCAGCCTGATAGCTCAATAGTCAGAATTTGGAACACTGGACCATTACATTTGCAGCACAAATGTGTTTCAGACTTTCTCGGCAGCCTCAAGCGGCTGAGTTCATCCCTAATGTGTAGGCAACCTGAGAATTGTGAAGTGGGTACATTTCATGCCCTCCACGTCTCTAGTGGCAGTATCTTATGAATGTCCTTAGCTCCTGAAAGAGGGACACTATGTGCTTTGTTCGTTCTTGTGCTTCATGCACCACTGACAGTGATACCAAACCACTGACTGAAGCAGTCTGTGATGAATCTGAATCAGTTTTTGTGTGGCAAAACTTTCTGGAGCGGGATGAAAAGACTGTATTCTGTAATAATGGATGCAGCAACACAGAATATTGATCAGAGAATTTCCTTTGTGATTGACATTTTAGCTGTAATTCGACTTCCAGGTGAAACCGATGCAGTTATTGAATAACTGGATAACCTGCAGAAAAGGCTGCAATGTTAATATCAGTAGATCGATTGTTGTTATGACAGCCGGTGTCTTAAATAAATCAAATTTCCTGTTTGAGTTTGTGGGTTCACTGCTGAGCCTGTGGACATGAACTTAGTAACAACACAGTGGAAGTCTGAGGCTGTGTGTGTGTGTGTGTGTGTGTGTGTGTGTGTGTGTGTGTGTGCGCGCTAAGGATCTTTTGGGGGGTATTTTTAATATAGTTTTATAGTTTAAGTTTTGCCCTCTTCTTTCATGTTTTAGAAGCATATGAACACATTTAGTGTACAAAATGCTTTGTGGCCGAACATTAATAGAACGACTGCAGTCGCTTTTATTAACTCGTGCTTACGCTTTGTAACGCATTACTGATTTTAATAAAAGGGATTTTATCGAGAGCTCAGCTGACCGGTAATGATTGCTGGTCTATACGAATACATCCACCATAAAGATAGTTGAGACGGGCCGTTGGAGGCACACGCGCATTAGTACTGAGTGTATTGTTTGCAAACAGATCTCATCTTGTCTCTCCGTAAATACAGGTTACAGGTGGACTAGATACATTATAAGAAAGTGGAAGTTATAATAAGATATAAATCCAAAACAGAATGATTTGCTCAACAAGCTAATAATTCAGTATGGGTCTACAAACAATTACATGTTGTTGTTGTTGAAATGGCCTTATTGTAAGTTGCTTTGGATAAAAGTGTCAGCTAAATGACATGTAATGCAATATTGTAGTAACTTCTTGGGGGAATACTTTAGTTTGATGATGGATAAACAAAAGAAAGCACAAATCAAAAGAATATAAAGGTGGGCTTTGTTAATAAAAGACAATCCTATCAAATATCTATTTTTGCTTGCAGCAGATAGTTGTCATGAGAGCTTTGTGGCTCCACGTTGTGACGCCGTGCCTGAAGAGTTGTTAGTCATTTGAGTGAGATCAAACACCTCTATGCTTATAACGGATTACATTATTAAGGCCTTTTAAAATACGTGGAGTTGTCAGTTTGTGGTGTCTTTTTTCCCAAAAGTTCTTTAATTCATGATGATTTTTAGGTGGTCATCAGACTTTTATCAAATTGCATATATCAGGGGCCGAGTTTGTGTGTGTGCACGTGAGCACCTGTGCGGGACATTTAATTGAATCCTGTAACCAGACACCTGTCTGCAGAGCCAGAGAAAGATCACATGTCACCCGTGAAACATGTTGCTCAAAGGAGGTCACTTTCCTGTCCATTCAAAATGTCGACCAACCCACAAAAAAATACATGCCTGACAGTTGTGTTGCCATTGTCTCCGGGTTAGTGTGCGCAGTTTGCACTGTTGTGTGTGTATGCGTTTACCTGAGTATGATGGCTGTCCATGTGTCTGTGCAGAGAAGTGGCGCTGGAAGTGTTGGACTTGCTGTGACTCTCGTCCTCTCGTGACCCTGAACACACAAAACCAAAAATACATTACATTGCAAAAGAATGCGAGAGCGAGTCCTCTCACACACAGGCGCACATCTCTCCCTTCGAACACAAGCAGAAACAAATAAATGTAAAAAAAAAAGCAAGGAATTTCCAACCATGTCAAACCTTTCCTTCTCTTTATGTGAAAAGTATTTAAGTGCTGATGTGATTATGTTGTGATTTGGGCAGAAGGTGCTACTTTCTTCACTCCACAGGACAGTTTTCTTGCTTCCTGAATTATGCATGTAAACGTGCACGATTTACCATTGGAGATCTGGTTGCCGTTCTCCATGGGGGCGGGGCTCGGGCAGCGAGGATGCGTGTGGTTGTTAGCGTTCTTGTCCTGTAGCTGCAGAGATGGCGAGGTGGGGGCCGAGCCATAATCTTCCCTCCCTGGCAGATTGATATTAGAATTGAATCCTGGGAGGAATAGAACACACGCTACATGTCAGTACATGTCATATGCAGTAGACATCAGATAAAGTTTACAATGGATAAGGCATAACAGATATCCAAAACCGCACAAGGAGTCATCATGTGTCAATTTCCAGGATCTTCTCGACTTACTCAAACTCCTTCTAGCTTATGAAGTATTTAAAAAATGATTCATCGGCTCTGTCTGGCAGAGCGGTGACGCCACATGAGCTGCCTCTGCGCCTCAAGGCCCACATGCTGTGACACACCGTAAGAATAAAAGACTGAGCACATACTGTTTGTGCATGAGAGTGTGAATGGGAATTTGTCAGCTGCTGTCCCATACTGAGAATGTGTGCCTCCTGGTCCCTCCATGGTCACAAGATGCCTAAATATAAACTCGCCAAACTCCACTTTAGGTCCCACGGGGTCGGTGTGTGTTTCTGAGGCACCCAAGGACAGGTACTCCACAGGAGCGTTGCATGTTCGTGAGGCCTCATGGTGATTATTTGGGATTTGTGGACTATGAGGGAGAAGTTTGACTTTTTAACAGTTTCGGCCAATTTGTACGTCGCTGTCGAGGCATGGGGGCGTTGACAGCAACTTCCTAAAGCCTGAAGACCAGCGTCCGCAGGCATCCCTGTGGGTTCGTCACTCCCTGAGAGGAGGAGGAGGAGGAGAGGCAGCTGCTCTTCACAGAGATGTCTGGGATAGCAACTGTAACCCCGAGGCCCCTCCCACAGCGTCAGGTATCACACCGGCCGCCGAAAGGGAACGGAAGTACGCCATCCCGTTAAGCCCGTCGGCATCCCCCACACGCTCTGATCTAAGTGGAGCGCCTCGCTATGCCCGCTCGAAATAACAGCTGGGTCGTGAACCCCAGTGCCATGTTCACCGGTCACACACACCGTTTCCATGACGCCAGGGCTCCTCCTGTGCACGTCCAGGTTCTTAGAGTAAGAGCGAGATGTCATTTGAGGCCTCGGGATTTACTTTACTTACGACACACACACACCCACACGCACGCACACACACACACCACTTTGTCTCATCTAAATTAGGCAGAAGCACAATTGTATGAGACTCAAGCAGGATGAGCGATTATGGAGAGCAACACGTTCACTAGATTTTAACAGCAGTGACAGTGCTTTCAGTAGAACATGAATGAGCTGTTCAATATTTGATATCCATACTCATCTCACTACTGCTCATGTATTATTCACCCGGCCACAACAAATACACTTGGAGCAAACAAGGACTGCGACAAAAACAGAGTTGGACAAGACAGTTTCTTTTCCCAAATGCCCGTGCTTCCTCCAGCTGACGGTAAAAATTCAGTCTCATAAAGCCAACCAAAAAGTAAGTCTCTTTGTGGGTTTGGAACCGTTGACCTGAGGAACCTCCCCTTTTATGGTTTTACGTGTGAAACATGTCAGGCCTCCGTTTGCAAAGGACAACCTGTTCATCAATGTGTATGTGCTCTTAATGTAGCGCATAGAGCTACAAACGCAGCTAGATCCATATTTTAGTGCAGCATGGAGCCTAATGGGCAACACCAGCTAGCTCTTTTGGTAACGTGTTACGTCTCCGGGTTCTGGAACAGACGCGTTGCCTCAAGTGGTCCAACAAGGGTGGCTGGTTACAACACTTGAATCAATGGAAGAAGTCTCTAAGAGAGGGGGGGGGGGGTGCCTCCATCTCACCTCTCGACCACTTCAACAGAGCATGTGTGTAAACCCACACCCCCACACGAGACCAGGGGTTATTACTCACCTACAACCCCACGACAAAGGGGTAATCACCCAGTACCCAATAAATCATGTGCCACCGAGCAGCCTGAGACTCACAGCAGGTAGAACACATAACGGACTCCTGCACTGCTGCCCAAATGTTTGCGCGCGCACCCACAGTGTGTTACTGACAAACCTCCGTCTCGCATCTTGCGCGCTGGGGTGGACTTCCGCAACAGGCTGCGCCCGGAGCTGAACAGAGTGTTGAGCTCATCCAGCGGGCTGGTCAGGGGTCTGCCGTTGGCTGGGTTGAACAGCAGGGGAGAGGAGGAGCAAGAGTGTGCTCGCCGGGGTTCAGGACGTGACATCTTGGCAGGGGAGTAGGGAGGCGGCTTGCCAAGGGGTTCCCCGCCTGTCCTATTAGAGGATGCGAGTTTGGGGGCGTCCGAGCTGCCCGTGACGGACGCTGCTCGGGTCAGAGAAAGAAAGTTAGCCTCAGGCGGGAAGGGGAAGTAGGAAGGGGGTCTGTAGGGAGGAGGAGGAGCAGCATTCGGAGCAGGTGGCGGAGGTGGAGGGGTCAGAGGAGGTGTGGACTTTTTCTCTGGCATGAGGACGGTGAGGCTGGGGGAGGAGTCGGCCCTCTGGCGGGAAAACTGTGGGGAGAGGGGGCTGTCCGGGCCAGTGGCGTAGTTCAGGTTTGTTTCAAACACAGGCAGCTTCTTAACCTCTAGCGGGGTCAGGGGCGACTCGTCTGACGCAGGGGAGCAGGTGACGGGAGACGGGGGAAACACCAGCAGAGGTGGACGGTGGGGAAGCAAGTTGGGGAAGGGAGCAGGGATGTCACAGCCGCTGTCTTTGCCATGGGTTTTGAGGACTCCACCGTTGGGGGCGCTCCGGGAGTGAGAAATGTCCGCCATCCGTTTGCTGTCCGTCTGAGAAAGAGAGGGCCCCAATCCAACCAGGCTCAAGCCGAGTGCCTCCAACTTGGCGGCCTTGCTAACCACAGCGGACGGCTTCGCACCGTCCTCGTGAGGATAGTATTTCATCTCCTCATAAACTGCCTCGGAGTCGGCCGGCTCGGGACTGTCGGGGGGCTCCTGGAGACTTCGAGCCCGCGGCTGGGAGCCCACCATCTCGATGTACACGTCCTCGTCATCTCGGCTCTGGTAAAGGCTCAGCCCTAAGCCTTGCGGGGCGTCCACAGAGGCCGCTTTCTGCAGCAAACCGCCGAACCCTCCGAACCCCCCGGCACGGGACAGCAGGGCTAGCTTTACGTCGGCAGGACGCAGCTGGTGGATGTGGTGGGCCACAGCGTTGATCTCCTCATAGGAGCCCGACAGCTTGGTGTTGGGACTGCGCTTCGGTTTTGGAGGAGGCACCTTCCTCATGGTTGTGTAGTCATCGCTGTGGGGACGGGGTTTGGACAGGGCTGAGGAAATTACAAAGAATGCCATTTAATACAGAGAAAGTTAGGGCACGGAAAAGCATCGTCTGCACGTTTTAAAGAAAAGGTGAAGCTAATTACCTGCGGGGTCTGTGGGGGACAGCTGGGACTTAGGAGGGCTTCCGGCTGGCGAACCAAACCCTTCTGGAGTGGGGCACTCTTTGACTGCCATCGTCAAGCCTGCACTGACTGCTTCATAAGATGCACTCAGGCGAGTGTTGGGGTCCCTCTTTGGTTTGGGCGGAGGTTGCTTCCGGGGAGAGGAAAGACCTCCCCCGCATGCTGTGTCCTCATTGGTATGAGCAGCCTGCTGCAGGGCTGGTTTGATGGATGGACCAGCAGAGGAATGGACCAAGCTCTCCATGGCGAGGGGGATGGGAACTGAGCTGGAGCGAAAGTGGCGAATAACTCGACTGCCCCCATTGACAGGACCGTCATAGACTTTCACGCTTTTATCCACAACCCTATCAATAGAAGAAAAATAACAATTTATATTTAAGTGGCAGAAAGAAAATATTTGACCATCTCCATCACTTCTGCTTCATGATTTACCCTCAAAAAACATTAAAATTACAGGCACAACCTTTTTTCTCATCCACTGGTTTTGTGATCCAGATTGAGTTAATTATGTCATTTAAATCAACATGCTCAAGCCCAGCGTAGTCCTGCTTCAACTGTCACACCACAAATATGAGCTAAGGAGGGCAATTGAAGGATAAAAACCAAAGAGATTATGCTTTAAATCTAATCTTCTTCCAGTGAAAACATCAAGCTTGATATTTCGGTTGCTAATCTGTATGAGCCATCTGTTGGTTGCAGGATTGCAGGCAGGGAGGGGAGCATGTGTGTAGATGATGAGCATGTGTGTAGATGATGGGGGAAGGCATTTTAATAACCTGCAGAGAAATTAGGTGGATATAATCCCCTCTACAATGAAACAACCGTGACTCCTCTCCCAGTCTGACTACTGACAGTCCTCCTGTTGGAAGCCTCCCTGTTTTTCACCCCCAGCAGCAGATGCTACACGCACAAGGACACACAGGGACGCACAAGGACACACAGAGGACACAGATATCACTGTGTGCATATTTTTCTTTAAGGATATATTTCTTACTCCTGAAGTTAAAACTGGTCAAATGTTGATGTGATGTTCCAAGCACACCAACTAATTTCAGTATTTGTGTGTCAAAATTATGAAAAATGTCAGTGCAGTGTTGGGTCTCAACTTGTGCTCTTCATTCAAATTATACGCGATGGTGAATCATTTTATACTTTTACGGCCACTTTAAAGTTGAAAACGTGCTTTATTGAGTTGGACAATAAATCTTAAAAGAAATGTATTCATATTGTGGCAGAGAAAAAATATGATAATAAAATAAGCACATGAATTATGCAGTGTAATGAACATACAATATATCACAAGAATAAAACAACATTGGGAAACAATGAATAAGTGCACATCAATGTTGCTTTGTATCTTCACCTTGAGAACTGAATGAAGGCGTGTGAACCAAAGGGGGCGTTTGCTAATTTACCTCCTGACAGGCTGATCCTCCTCCTTGCCCACCGGCTCGGGCCGCTCGCCAAGCGGTGGGCTATTGCCCAGGGCGTTGGGAAGGCTGTTGCCATGGCAGCGTAGGCGGTCGCTCTCTCGTGCGATGTCGGAAGCGTTCTGGATGACCAAGTGGTCGTAGGTTCGCAGCCCCATATTTTCTGTCCCCTGCAGGAAACGCTGCACACTGCACTCGTCTTTCTGCTGCAACGACAGCCGGTGACGAACACGCCGCCGGACCAGCCAGCCACGGACCACTGACACGGGGAAGAGACGGCAACGGCCTCAGGGAATGCGATACAGATCAACCCAAAGGAGAAACATGGCTTGTTGGTTCATCGTTTTGGATATTACCTTTCTGGCAGGTGATGATCTTTTTATGAAACTGGTAGCAGCGGTCGTTGAGCTGTTCCGCCTGCCAATACCTCAGGAAGACCTTGCTGATGCCCATCTAACAACACAACAACACAAGCCGTCATTGCTGTTCTCCACATCGCCATCATCATCAGCTTCTGGGAGTCTGGCGGTCTTCTGTTGGGGATCTGAGAAGAGTGTGTCCTGCTAGTTGCGGGACAGCAAAGACGTAGCATAATAGACTGGGTGGGGCGCGTGGGGAGGGTATGGAGTTTAAATGTTGACCGCATTTAGAGGGCGTGTAGGGGGACGGGGGGGAGTCAGAGGTCCCTTGATACCAGGTGCACCGAACTGTAGGGGGGGGGGGGCAAACTTGCATTCCAACACACGCTACTTAAGGGAGGGGTCTGTGAGTGTGTCTAGCAGAACTGCATGAAAAGGTGTCTGCAGAGCATTGTGTAGAGTGTATGTGCGTGAGTGTGAGGCGGGGGCTGATGTGACCTGTAGGGTCACACACTCAGACACAACAGCAGTGTGGCAGACAGGACAGCGAATGGGGGTGTGGGGGTGCTGCTGTGTGTCTGTGAGGAGAATGATGATGAGGTGGGACAGCTGGAGTGAGTTGCAAAAAATTCCATGGGATCTTTCAAACAGAGGGTCAGGGATTAAGTCATTTGGCAAATATTTTGTTATTGCTGGCAGACAGAAAAAGAAGCAAGAGACACACACACACCTGCCATCCCTGTAGTTTGGACTGCTGCAGAACTGAGCGACATCTCTCCTCCGGTGACAATTTCTTCTTGTCCCCCAAAGTTGGGACAACAAGGTCTTTATATCTGAAATACAAATAACGAGAAAACACTTTGAAGCTGAAATTAAAAACCGAGACGGGACACGGCGACACCTCCTCTTTTCAGAAACAATGGGTTTAAAGGTCAGTGGGGTCATACGGCAGACCAGCCAAACAGCATCTGCTCCTATTGGTGTTGCCCTAGGCAACTGTTGCTATGAAGGGTCAGCTGGACGGACACAGGGTTTGTTTGTGACGGGGACAGTGGGGCTGAACGGGGGAGTGAGCAGGAGCAATGTTGACACAGAAAGAAATAGATGGAGAAAAAGCAGGCTCTTGAAATGTGGATAGCTGTAGAACTTATATATATTATATTTGAATATTGTGTCCTTACAGTAATGGTGGCTTATGAGGTGAGTGCTAGGACAAGACATAGAAAATATAATGTAAAAAATACATTTCCCCTCCATTTGCAGTTACTTCTACTACGGAGTGCTCCTTCCACCTTTGTGTCAGCAGCAACAAAGGTCACACTGAAAACTCCAGAGAAGAAGTAGGGAGAATGAGGGAAGGGGAAGAAAAGGGGAAAAAGAGGAGGAAGAGAAAGAAGAAAAGGCTCAAGAAGAAGACGCACTTCTTCATCTTCTTTAATTTTTTAGACGAAATATAATTTGACAGACTTATCAGGTGCAGTCCTTTGTTCTTTCCCATCTACATACTTCCACTGACAACCAGGGTGTGATGTCACACTGCCATGAATTGGTCATTGTGTTAAACAAAGTCGAAGAACAACTCCTCTTGAATAACTACCACAGAAACTATTCACTATGCAGAAATACTCAATTAAACTACAGTAACGGTATAGTATCAAGCACAACAAGTTGCCTCAAATGATTAATCTGAAAAGTATAGTATTCTCAGCAGTACATCTGTAGTGGGTCACGTACAGCCTCGTAATGCAGCTCCATCAGAATTACCCTGAATTCTAACAACACAAATAAAGTTGTGTTAAACTGTAATGAGGGCAACAGAAACCTGATACGAGAGCAACGCAACCGGATGTCACAAGAAAATAAATATATAACAAGCAGTTGGAACCACTTGTTTTGTCAATAGTGACCAAGTAAGTGCACGTGAATGTGGGATGTGTTTCATTTGCACACGTGGGTTCAGTCTGAACTCTCCCTTGTCCTCTCTGTGTGTACGGTAACACCAGTCCTGCAGACGACACACACGGTCCCCCATGGCCCATAAAACCTAAAGGAACTCTGTAAACTCATGACCTCCGCTGTGTGACGATATGAAAACCATCGAGGGTCTACTCTTACAAGACCCCAAGGAGCTTCACGTGGAGTCAAAGAACTGAAATGACCCCTTTGATAAGAGTTTAAAAGGAGACAGGGGGGGTTAACGCGGGTCTCCGACCGACGGGACATCCGATAGCCGGTAGTGAGCATCACAAAAGGAGGAGAAGGCAAAGCAGCTTGAATCTAAACCTCCTCCGTAAAGCCGCCAATTGTTGCAACCTCCCCATTTTCATCCCAGTGTTCGGTCTGAAATGATTGAGGTAACTCAACCTACAAACGTGTGTGTTCATCCACCAGTGGGGGGTAATTAGGGCTTGACACTGCCCTCATAGAAATCCTGACCTGTGTGCTTGGAAGCTGCGTTTCTGACCTGCTCTATGAGTCCACTTTTTAAGAGTAAAGATCTTAGGAAGTGGAAGCCTGTGACCTCACATATTGGACACAAAATATATGCCCCCCACAAAACACACAGGGCACCATAAAAGACAAATAAAGGCCACAGTAAAATAGATTTCCTCATAAATCACGCTGGTTACTGGGACAATGGTGTAGTTTGCTTCAGGTGTCCAGTGTGACCTGTGAACGGTGTACCGGCCTCCACGGTTGAAGCGGGCAAGTCTGCATTTGTGTGTAAACATTGGTGCTCTTGTGTTAATAAGAATAGAGCAAGCTCGAGATTAACGGCGGATTTATTGTTCCGTCAGTTTGATTGTCAAGGGCCGCGGCCTGTTTTGAAATAACAGGACAAGACTGCAATAGCGTGTGTGCGCACGCGAGAGAAAAAGGGCGTGGAAAAGAGGAAAGATACAAAAAACGAAAGGACGGAACATTAAAGATTAAAAAAAAAAAAGGAAATGGTGGATCACAAGAGGCAGCTTGTTAGGAAATGATAAGACATGGGAGTGAGAAAGAGCTCTGTGAAGACACCAGTGAAGTCCACCCCCGCTCAGCAGCGGCCCCCCTCGCTCGCCAAGGCTGTGTTCATTCATCGGCCGCGGTGGCGTTGAACTAGATATGAATGGCACTTGGGCTCGACTGACTGGTGTCTTTGTGAGTGGCGGCGACTCCAAACGGCCACGGCATTAATGTATACACAGCAGGACGGGGACGCACGTCAGACGAACGCAGCGCTCCAAAAAGGTCCATTTGTTTGCAGAGAGAACACGCGCTCGCAATGCGCAGCAACCAGGGCTGTTGAGTAAGGCATTAATTAAATAAAGAGAAACACTCAAAAACGCTTTGATTACAATTTTAAATCCCGTTTCTAATCCCGGCAACGTGTTTTACTCCCTTAATTCTTAAAAGCAAAATTGTCTTCTCCAACTAGCTTTGTCTCTGTCGGCCTATTCTTCTGCCTCCGTAACCATTGGCATACTAATTTGCATTGATTGAGATTTGGTCCTGTTCACATCACTAACGTATATACTGCATTACAGAATCGGACAATTCTCAGAGAGGTCACTCGACCAATAGACTGCCCATCATGCCTCTCCAAGTCAAGAGTGTTTTTCTAGACTATTTGGGGAGGAGCTTAACACTATGTCAAGTGGCCCAACAATGGACAACAGTACTTTCAGAGTGCTGGAAGTACAAATGTTTCACCGAGAGGATGAAAGTCTCATTTACGGTCCTTACTTACTCAGTTATCCGATGGACATTTCCTTCCCAATTTAATTAGACACTCAGACTGACTCTTATTCCGACGACTTAAACAGCTCAGAAACCCTTGGTGGGAATCTTTCAATACCATCTACAGTGCTGTCTCTGCACGGCATATCCATCAAAAACACAAAGGAACAGCCAGATGCTTCTAGACAACAGAATATATAGTGGATTCACTTCACCAATTGACATGGTTCTCCAGATTAAATTCCCTGTTCAAGTCTTCTCTTATGAAGATCTATTGACCTATTTACTTGTTTGACCAGATACTATCAGGTGTCAGACAATAAATACAACACACTTCGTCGTGTGTGTTTTTCTCCTCTTGGTGCAGCTCTTTTTTTAAATCTTACCTTGTTAGTTTCTGTTCTATATTTTGATTAGTCCCTCTGGTAGTACTTCTTTTTTCTTTTCTCTAACTGTTTATCTTGACAGCTATGCACCAAAATACCAAGAAAAGCTCCATGGCTGTAAACTAGATTTTGAGTGCCTTATTTTTCTTTTATTATAAAAATTGAATTCAGGATGAGGAACGTGAAGAGAAACTCTTATGTTTACAGAATAAAAGTGTGAACCATTAGTCTTTGTTTTACTTGGGTGGTAAACTGATTTATTTAAAGTTAATACAATAATTCTTACATAAAACGCAGATCTGTGTTCATCCATCTTTTAGGAAACTACTACATTGTGTGTTTCAAGGCTTATGTGCGTGTGGAGTGACGTAACAATATCTACAGCAGGGGAGTGGAAACTTTTGGGGAGGTCACGTGACCAGCTTTGCCCTCTCGTATTATCTGGCAGGAATGTTCTTTTTGATCCCTTTCTAATGGGGAAAAAGTGAGACAGCCTGGCAGACAGTCTCATAACGTTTTATGCATTAGAGTGGAATACTTTAAGAAATGGGATTTGTTCCTCCTAGACTTCACAGAGCGAGGTGACAGTGAAAGCAACAGATTCTATTAGGGACATGGGGGGAAATAAGGCTTGAGAGATGGATCTACCACTTCGAAGGCGGAAACGCAGTGAGAGGGATATGAAAAGCAGTGATGGGGAGAAATAATCACAGGCATTCAAGTGTGGGGGCACAGAGACCTGACACACAACTGGCTGGTTAGTGCGTGTGTGTGTGTGTGTGTGTGTGTGTGTGTGTGTGTGTGTGTGTGTGTGTGTGTCAGGCTGACATGGGAAATGTGATCGTGCCAGTCATCAGCGGCAATAGACTCCCATTATTCTCTAAAAAAGCCATTCAAGGTCACGTCGTCCTGCCAACAGCAAGGGTTGCAGTGACATGTAAATGCGAATGTGTCCATCTGCACGTGAACACATGATCCTGTCCAATATCTACCCCTGCTTTGCGGATGTAGAGGAGGAATATGCTTCCAAACTGTATGCTTGCTTTGACCTGCCTGCCCAGTCACTTATGAAGCGATAGAGATCGCCGTGACCTGCTGGGAGGTTGATGTGTCTGTACAATTGAGGAAGCAGAGGAATCCGTCATCTCAGAAGAAGAAGCAACCCTCACAGACGGAGCCCAACGAGAAAAGTTATTTAGTGCACTGTTAATTATGCAACATGCTCTGGGACCGACCTGCTGAGGAAGCCTGGGAAGGACAGGCGGACGGGGTATCCATAACGGATCGTGCGCACCATCTCGAGAACCCCGATGTACTGCAGCTGGGTAGACACATGGGAGCTGTCAAAGCTGTCGGGCTGAGCCCTGGCGTCGGGGCGCACGCACTCCACAAAGTGAGGAGTGCAAGCCTGCAGCTTACTGATCACCTCCGACAGAGAGTTCTGAAAGAAAAAGAGGTGATGCAGTCAAACTGGTCATTTTACAATCATAACAGAATGAGCAATATGTCACGCTTTGATTGACCACAGGGGCTGGGCTCTGCTTTTGATGTGTGATCACGTTGTGTTTGAGATAAAGCAGGCTGATTTGGGGGGAGAGGAGTGAGTGTTGGGGGGGGAGGTTGCCTTTGGAGGAAGCAGAAACACAAAGAGCTCTTTTGAAAGGTGTGAGCGAGTTTTTCCTTCAAGCCCTAAACGAACAAACATCCATTGGATACAAGGTCACACACACACACACACACACACCACAAACTGACGCATGCTGTTAGTTACAAAGATCCGTTAACACCCCACCCCGGGTCTTTGAAGTCACGACCAGCATCTACGTTGCTGTCCTCCCTCCCAGCACGCGCATGTTCACTCACAAAGTTGTGCGCAGGCCCCGCGGTGGTGGTTGTTCATTGTTCATTCATTCATTCACGTGGAGGGCTTCATGCTTGGCCTGGTACAGCATCATTCTTCAGCCCACTCTCTTCCTCCCTGAGGGACTTGTCCACCACAAGCCCACAACTCTGATTGTGCAACACAGTGGCTGCATTCAAGGAAAAAAGGTACCGATTCTCTGAGCCACATTTCAGCCGCTTTGCGTCACCAGCAGACACTGGACCACTTTGCTCTGACTGAATAGTATTGTTGGTTTGTAAAGTTAGGAAATCCATTTCTCATTTTACACAAAACCTCAGGTTTCATTATCAAATCTTTGTATTCATTCAGAATTTGAGCCAGATGCTTGGCTGTACATCATGTATTGAATTCAGTAAAAAAAAAAAAAAAAAGACAGAAGTGAGATGAACATGCTGGTTTTGGCTTATTGGCCTCAAAACCGTTAATTCAGTTAGTTTATTGAATGTTCCCACAGTGTGCTGCAGTAAATACTACTTCAACAGCACCCTTTTGAAGACTCATTATTCGTTCAAACTTCTTTACTGCTTTGCAGAAGGACTGAGGGACTGTGACCTGCAAAATCCATGCAAGGGACGTGGTAGCTGCACGTTAATCTGTTACAGGCACAGAACATATTCAGACAGCCAAAACCATTCACAACCTGTGGACAACATAGAGTGCAACCACCTGAGGGGCACGCCTTGTCACTGTTGGAGGAAATGAGTGCAGAAGCAAACCCATGCAGAGGACATTCAAACAACACACGTGCTATCCAATTAGGCACCTCGCTTATGGAAAAAAGAGCCAAACGTGTTTTATATTTCAGGGACCTATAGAATAAGACCTGATCTGTGAAAAACTACAATGTGTGTTTCTTACCCTGAGCTGGACGGCCACTGTGATGGGCCCGCAGCGCTCAAGCCTTTGGAGGAAGGAGCTCGAGCCTTTCTTCTTCAAGATCTGGCAAAAGAACAATATAATAGGGAAAAAGAACATCATTTTGAAATCAAATTGTCACAATTCTGTGCAGAATGTTTGATAAGCACACCAATGTACCACTTCTAGGTCAATCCCAAATGATTCGCTTCACAGTGTGACTCACTGTTATTGTCCGCCCATCATTGTCTTCCATTATTTTATCAGTGGTCTCAATGCTCAAGTCTCATGTAACCGATTAAGGCTGCTCGGACAAGTCAGCAAGAGGAAAAGGGTCCAATGTCAGAATGTTCTCTGGAAGCTATCGGGCACATCGACAGCAGGTGGGACCCCAAGAGATTACACAACCAGGAAGCCTTTGTTTAGTTACACAGGTGCCCTATTACAATATGCCTTCTAATCAAAATAGATCAGAAGTCTGCTTTTGCATGACTGTGTTTGCAAGCTTTTGTGGTTTCTATTCGAAACCAATCCAATTCCCACAGGTTTATATATAGCCTGTTCTGACGTAGCTTGCATTCACATGGCCTTCAACACATGCTCAGTACTCTGTGAAACGTCTACTGTACCTTGGTATAGTCATAGCATCTTTGGGACTGTTGTGGCACAAAGTTGGCAGTGACCAGGGAGGCCGGTGGCCCCCTGTGGAGCAACTGGGCAGCTTTGGGCCCCCTCAACCCGACACGGCCGTGGGCTGCTGGCACCAGAGAACCAGTCTGAGTCAGCTTGGACTGGAAGAGCTGCTGCAGTAACACGCTCTCACTGGCTGCATGGCCCCAATCACATGCAGAGACAGAAGCAGAGGAAGGGGGAAAAGGGGATTGAAAAGAAGCAACAGCATTGGTGGAAACGAGGGGGTGGAGGGCAGTAGGGCAAGGTGGAACAAACAAAAGAGAAAAGACCGATAGAACGAAGGAAAGAAAGCAGGGAGGAACGGCAGGGATGATGTAAACAAGGGAGGACAGGAGCCTCGGATGAGAAGTGGGGAGGAGGTTCAAAGTTAGGCACCACGTAAACAATAGGTCAGGCAACAAGAGCGGTTGGACAAACACGTGGAGCGTTCCACAATGACAATGAGCCCATTCAGCGGACCAAACGACGTGCGTGTGAACGTGGGCGTGTGGCTCTCTTCTGAAAGGCTGTCAGAGTCAAAGAGGAAAGGATGACGGGAGGTGGGCGTACCAAGCAAAGAAAAACAAACACGAGGTCTGGACTCAGTTAAGGGTTTAACTACACTCAGCTCCAAGGGGGCAATTGTCTTTCCATTTAAAGCAATCATTGCCACCACCTGAATATGGACTTGCGTAGATCCCTTTCCTCTATTAGCTCAAGGCTTAAACTCCAAGCCGGGAGGTGAGGACATCCGTTAGAGGAAACCACGTAGTACGTATGTTAATGTGTGCAGCTGAATGGCGACGACGCATCGTCTCGGTCAGACAACAGCCAAGTGTGAGTGAAGGGAGAGCCTTTAGTAGATTAGCCTCATCATGGAAATTACAGCAATTAGGCTGCTGGATGCGTGGCCGGCCTGGCAGTCACACAACGGCGCCCTCTGTCCCCGCTAACCACAACACCCCACATCTGGCATCTTCTATGGACAATATACACGCGCGCGGTGCTGTCCGCCACATATGGGATGAAACGCGCATTAAACAAAAACAACCACACTGGGACAAAGAGTGGCTGTGTGCTGCGCTGGTTTATACAAAAGTGCATCTTTGTGATCGGGTTTGCTCTGACGCCACAATGTGGTCACACGTGTTGTATGTGTTGGGTACTTACACTTCATCATGAACAGGATGTTCTGAGGGAGAGAGTCCTTGTTTCTAGCGAGGGATCCTGTGAGATCATAGCATATCTGGGAAAAATAAATAAAAAAACACACATGGATATTCGGTGTATTAAATCTTAAATAGTTTTGCATAGAGATCCAGCCTCTACTTAAGGTGTCCTCGCTCGGCCGAACAGCATTTTCAAACTCACAACCGCCTCTGTGGTTTCCCCCGCAGAAGTTTATCGTTATAAAACGTACCACAGCAACTATAGCTGCATAAAAACATTATGTATATTTGCAAAAGAAAACCTACATGTTCCAGTATTTGTGGAAACCTTTTATTTCTTGTATGGCCAAACCCCACCTAGTGGTGTACATTGCATGAATAAATGAATAATAATAAATAAATAAATAAAGTTTGCATAATGCCTTACAATTTGGTTCCTGTTTCCTATAGGAAAATGTCATTGTTATAGCATTCGTGAATCAGTAATGTATTGTTTTCTCTATAGTTATTAGTTTAAAGATAATGGTTTTAGTGTTGGTAATTTCTCCTGCGTAGCAACTGCTGGTTTGTTCGTGAGAACAGTAAGAGGGTGAATTATAGTTCGATCAAGTTGTAAGGTTCATGATTTATGTCGTGTCTTTAGAGGTCTATTGTAATGAGTCGTGATAGATTTCATGCTATAACAGTCAGCGCTGGCTTCCGATAGATGGGATGAAGACCTTCCTGTAATGCAGACAGACCTGTCCGGCATAGTGGCTGACGGTGAATGCCGGGCCCTGGTCTTTGGGCGGCGGGTTTCCGTTGCCGTCCTTGGTTGTGAGAGAGAGACCGTGGGTCGGATTGGAGTCCAGCTGGGTGGAAAGCCTCTTGTACAGGGTCTGCTCTGCCGGCCGCAGGCTCTGGCTCTCCTCGTCCAACACGCACAGCAGTCCCTGAGGCTTCTGGGGGAGGAACGAACATAAAGCTATAGTTATTTATGTCGGTCGTTACAACGAACTCTTGATGAGAGCAATCTATTTCCGTCATGGCACTTATTGATCCCTACAGGGTGCAGCTATCCATGTGATTTGAAATAACTTTTTGGGGGGTAAATTATTAATAGAGGTAAAAGGGTATCATGCAATATGGGTTGCAATTATGTTGTAAACATCCTAACCGCTGACCCACTCAGTCTGATCAGTAATGATCCAGGCAGAGATTTATTTTTGATCAATATATACACCTTTAAATAAAATATTGAAATATATAATTAATAAACAGCTGTTAGCAGAAACAGTTTCCAACTTTTAAAAAGTGTTATTTTTATTAGTGTGATTTAAAAGCTTTTGTCAAAGCTCCGGCTGGGCTTGCAACGTTGAATTACATCACGGGACACCAAACTGGACCGAACTGTTCTAAACAAGCAGCGGACATGAGGCCTACCTGAAGAAAGAAGTCCAGAACGGTTGTCTGGTTGCCGGGGGAGCGAGGGGTCTCCATGGCAATGCCCTCCTGCAGACACTCAGACTGCTCCTGCTGGAATAGCACCTCAGAGACGTACTGCCTCAGCCGCTCGTTGGTCATGTTCATGCACAGCTGGAATGCACACAAAGAAAACAACAACCTATGAACTCACACTTTGATGCACATTGAACGAAATTCCCTTTTAGAGGCACTAAACGTTTTAGTGGGGAAAAAAATACATGCACAAATACAACCTGGAACGTAACCTGCTGTGGCACCAACAGGGGAGTCAATGGGGCATAAATGAACTGACAACACGCATCAGCACACCAGACCCCAGAGCTCTTTAGAGGTACACCATGTGCGTGGTATACATAGTAATAGATGTTCCAGCTGGGACACATAAACTCTTCCTAACCCAGCAGTCAACCAATCACAGCACAGGAGTCAATTAGATGATGGTTTTGCTGGCGCGTGTAGCACTGGGGGGACTCAAGTGAGACTTGTGACATTGATGTAATGAGAAGACAGACAGAATATGAAGTGGAACAACACAGGATAGTTGGCAGCAGCAGGCCTGTCTGAACTTCTCCTGAACCCAAATGTGTCACAAAGCGGAACACGAAAAAAACTGTGTTCTTGTCTCGGAATTAACTTGCCATTCTTGTACTTAAGTGGGTCCCTGTCCTCATTTTGATCCCAAAATCTGATGCATATTTTCTTTGTCATCCAACGTCGTGCCACCTGACTCAAAAACAAATGCCAGACCAATGCTGTCTGAAGCATGAATGTGGTCTCTCAGGTAATCATGGCGAGCTCACCGAGGGAGTGAATATTTTAATAATCATGTTGTTTTCTGTGCCCCCAGAAAAGCAGTTGCATCTACTTCTTCATCCATTCACTAAAAAAAAAAAAGTATGTTTGGGGGGAAAAGTGCAAAAATATATAAACATGCTTTAGTTTTTCTCTGCGCGATGGAATCGGAACAATCACAACTTGACCCACATTCGCTGATTGAGCCGTGCTGATCTAGAGGCGCGTCTACTCTTAGTCTTCAAGCTAGTCTAGTGCATTAAAGGCTTAGTCCCAGCAGGTGGTTGATTGAGTTAGCTCATTAGCAAAGTGCTGAGCAGGTACAACAGACCCCTGACAAACACAGCTCTAATTAACAAGCCGTAATGACCCTGATCATGCGGCGCATGTGGAGCCTGCCCGCGTACGAGTGCGCGTGTGTACAAACATGTCAGAGTGCGAGTGCTCGTTTGTGAGGGATCATCGAGTGGGTAACGTGTGATTGGAAGAGGCGAATAATGTCTCAGCATTTATTAATGTAGAAGATGTCTGGGAGAAAGAGGCAGCCAGCGAGGGCCGTCCCTTTGTTTCGTTGCGTTTTATTAACCACCTCCCCTCCTCTTCGATTCTGGCACATGCCAGACCCGAAGGGGAAAGGTTGCACAATCCCTCGCCTCCACTTAGATTAGAGAATATCCAGGGGACGGACAAGACGCTGACATCTTACTGCCAAACACACAAACGGAAATCAAAGACAAACACACACTGGTCTTAATAAAGGCGGGGAGGAGATTGGACGATCCTGAGGGAGGGAACGTAAGCTCTAAGTAGAAGGAATAAGCACTTAGCCTCTTGCGCACTATGAATTACACTCTAAAACACCACAGCGTGTGCGCGGGTGCGATGATGCACACACTTGTGTGCTGGTCTTAGAGTGGTCAAGTCTATTAACAGTGAATGCTTGATCAGCACATGACAGATTTACAGCCCAGGACAGGTGAGCTGCGTACGTACTACATGCCACGCCGTGTAATACCAGACCCAGACATGATGAGAACCGGGTAGACATCATTTATCAGCCATTTATGTAAAGTAAAAGAACGGACAGAGGGAGAAATAACCTCTCTAAGAGACTGGTGATTATCAAACATAACTGGAAAATTTGCTTACTATATTGACAATTCTTTACTTTTTTTGTGAAGTGAACAATGTTGCCATTTGAAACAAACGTTAACATTTCCTGTAGAAAAGAGCCATCTTTTTTTGGAACAAGATTTGATTCTGAAAAAAAATCAATAATGATTTGTATCGTGACACCGAAAATACACTTAATCATGAAGGTAAAAATAAGATTCAGACACACAAACACACACGCAGGTTTGTAGCAGCCCATCAATCTAACATCTCACACACAGAGGAGCATTTGTTTCGGCCCTTCAGGTCGCTTAAGGACAGCTGGAATCAGGCCAACGTTAGCCACTGTTAGCCACAGACCTCATCTCATTCATTACAATTAGAGAATAAAATGTGTGGGTTAAAATAGATAAAGTCAAATATGATCAGCCAAATATCTTCACAATTTGATTAAGATCCGTTTAAAACTACAAAAACCAAACACTGCATAAAGACATTTTCAGCTGAGGGCAGCCTTCCAAGCCAATGATGTTAATCAGGGAATGTCATGAATGCTTTTGTTAATCAGGGAATTTCATGAATGCATTTGGCTTGATTAGGAAAACAAATGTGTCGGCTTGAGAGTTGACAGGGTCACAACATTGATGCACACAACTAGGCATAGTCCAACCTGCTCATATCCGTTCCTCTGAACTTCTTCAAACCCAAATATGTCCAAGATCCCGATTTCCATAGCGGGGTCACTAGAAGAAAGGGTCAGATAGAGAGCAAAGGTATGACATTATCACATTAACTCCAGGATCAATGTGATGACTGGTTTGCTTGCTTGTGTCACCCTGATGAGTTATCATGTTTGTGCGCGTGCAACAACACATCTGAAGAGGGTGAGCCAGTAGTTAGTAGCGTTGGCAAATCAACTATGTGGTGTGGTTTGTGTGTAGACAACGCATAGCAGACACATTCCGAGAGATGGAGCGACGGTTATCTGATTTGTGATAAAACCTCATAACATCAACACCACCAAGGATCCATCAACCTCCATCTAAAAGTGTTTGTGCGTGTTTATGTTGTTGTGTGCAAGACCTTCAGAGAAACCTTGGGCGTGTCCTCTACCTTGTTGTTCTGCATTTATCATTCGAGTGTACATGCCAATCCTGAATGTTATGTAAACTGTTATGCAAACTATTACAAACCTTCACTACAGAACTATTTGCCTGTCACAATATTAGTGTTGTCACTCCAGAAGCCCGGAGGGAGAGACGCCTCGCATGTGATGACTAATACATCAGGGAAGTTTGTTATCAACAACCTGGCCTCTCAAAAATATATTTTTTTGAAGGAGTAAACAACATGTGATAAATAAAGACACACACACACACACACACACACACACACACAGATATACCCGATGCCGTCATCTTGTCCATGTAGGTAGTCATTGATACTGTTGACCAGATAGCTGAAGAGGCGTCCATAGATCGCCTTTGCCAGCTGGTCTCTGTGCTGCTCCGACATCTCCTCTGTGTGGCCTCTAGTTATTACGTCACCTGAAACAAAAGGGACATGGCAACAATGATTAAGTTGATAGCACAGAAAACAATATCCGTAAAGTTAATTTGCTCAGTTTAGGTGCCAACACTTAAAGAAATGGTTTTGTTTTGACATATGCCTTGTTGAAATGTGCAACTTGGTAAGAGATCCGTTAATTACTTGGAACAGTCTGAGGTTAATCCAGTGATAAGTAATGGACTAATTCTGCTTATGCACGTGGACTAGGGAGGTGAAGGTGGAGGCTGGTGAGCGGATACCTTTGAAGTACTGAACGTCAGAGGTGAGGGCGGTACTTAAGTCGTGGGAGCACACCTGCAACAAGCCGGCAACTGTGCAGAGAACAAAAGCTTAGAGAGAAGAACTGAGTGACTGTATGAAAATCAAAATAGCATTAAGCATTGAGAATTAGGATGTCAGAAAGGCAGCGCTGATGACATCCACGGAACAAATGCGCACAACCAGCTGAGGCCCAATTCAGATGACTCCGAGCTAATCGATCAGCAGAGCTGGCAGCAATGAGTCATCAGCGGATTGCCGAGCAGAACCCATAAAGAAGCAGAAACAGGTGACAACAACCCAGAATACATCTGCTGACATCACCATTATATCACATCTCCTTGACAACAACTGGCTCTTTCCCGTTCAGACGCTGATGTTGTTTTGTTTACCATCACATGGAGGTCAGCGGTTGCGTAATTACAGAGATAGTAAGAAAAGAAAGCTGAGACACCAATAGAGGCTTTAGAAGCGTTAAAGCGGAGGCCGTCTCCTCGCCGTGGTTACACTCTGGCAGAAAGTGCAGCTCACTAAACAGGTGGCAAACTGCCGAGCAGAACTCAAGGAGGCAGAGAAAGGTAAACACAGAGGGGGTGAGATGCACCCCCGCTGTGAACCCGGTCATGTGACGGAGGGCACTAACCTCTCTCCAGCAACTGGAGGTCAGAAGGGAAGGCTGTATTGGCATCCGGCAGTGCAGTGAAACGTAGGTCCCCAATGTGGAGCACAGCCGATAGCAGCATAAACACAGAGTCAATCTCCTAGCAGAGAGAGAGGGGAAATAGTGGGAAACAAATAGGAACTGGACATTTTGAAATAGTGATCAAAAACATCATTTTCACCTTTTTCGACCGTGAATTCCAACATGCACTACACGACACAATCAGGACATTTATCTTAAAGTACACAAACTCCACGAAAGAAAGAAATAAACCCAAATCCAATGCTTTTTAAAGACAGATCAACCCTCCTCCCTTCATTCACACATTTATTTTGCTGCGTCCGACTCTTCCTTCCTCTTTGCCCTTGGGTAGAGGACGCTTAATGGAATACCCTATTACCCACTGCTCTGAATTTCTGAGAGGGGGACGCTCCAGTTTGAGGGCGTGTGCTTGCATGTGTGTGTGTGTGTGTGTGTGTGTGTGTGGTTCGCTGCGTCTCCTTGTGCACTCTCTCAAGGCGGGATATTGGAGCTGATATGTGGGAGATAAACACGAGCATTAGTCTCCGTCTGACACTCTATACACAGACAGACTCCCCCTACTTAGGAAGGGGGAAGGAAGGGAACAAGGGCACAAGGGAGAAAAAAGGAGCGTTAATGGCGATTGACCTGTGTGTCTGGACTAGGAGTCTCCCTCTGATTAGACTAGACAAAGACCAATAGGTGGTCTATCGCTTCCACTCTTAGTCCCTGCCCCTCCCCTCTTATCCAGTGGACACTAGTGGTTTCTAATATAAGCCCGTCTCTCGCACTACCTAACCCCCCCCCGTCCTCCCATGTATTGACTGCTGCTGGATTAAAAGGTGAGCTGGTGGTCACTCACCGCTGACAGATGCTGACTGGGAGCCTAAGAATAGGACCTGATAACGGCCTGGCAGCACAGCTGGTGGTGCACAGGACGGCCCGTCCCACACACTACATGCACTCAGCAGGCATGAATCAATGTCTTGATAGATGATAGAAAATGGGGGATCAAAGAGATCAAAGTATTGAGGCAGGGTATGTCATCGGGAACAGATGACCGTCATTTCAAATACGTCTCGTGCCTGAAGTGGGAGGACACACTGTTGTGTCCTTTGCATCACTCATTTTCCCGCAGCGGTCAATTGAAAATGAAAACCATTGACCGTGATGTTATCTACCAGGTGCTACCGGTATGGCGTGTGTTTTGGTAGAATGGGTCAGTAGTTCTTTCGTCTGTGAGGTGAGACACTTTGGAAGAGCCAGCGCCTGAACGCCAACTTACAGACTGTGTGAAGGAAAAACCTGTTGTGAAACGGCATTGATGACCTCATATGTGGCTACTTCAGGGTCCGTTAGGTCAACACTTTTAATGATCCCCGCTGTCAATACCAGAAGCCATGCGCAGTGCTAATCGATACCTGTTTGTTAAAGCCCAGGGCTCGCAGGGCCTGTTTCACTGCTGCGAGGCGTTCTCTGCTGTGGGCAGACGCTGTCGCCATGGGAGGGTTCTGTCCAAGTCCTCCACTCAGGTACCTGGAGTAAGGACAGAAACATTGGACCAATAGTTCAACAATAGTTCATAAACCACAGAAACAAAATGATCATAAAGGACATAGTGTGGCATTGGTTCATGTTAACATGTGGGCCTAAATCCCCCAAAATGATGAGGCAAGAACCTCCCAGGTCAGAGCAAATCAGTTCAGTTCACATTTTGATAGTGGATATAATATACATATGCAGCTGACAGACACTAACCTATGAGCCAGGACATTGTTGAAGTAAAGTGCGCTGTTCTCCTCAGGCGAAAGGCCTTCAGCCATCAAATAAAAGATGTTGAAGCCGTGTTGGTGAGGAGGCAGGTGGACCAGGCGAGACTTCTCCAGCATGTGGGTGTTCACACGGGCTTTAAACATCAGATTTGTTTAATACTTAGTAGTAGAACTGAACATCCAACGAGGGCTCATTGACCAAATGAACTTGGGTAAGAGACGGTAAACAGGACTTTAAATAACGGAGCACAAAGAAGTGCTCTGAGGACAGACTAATGGGCGTTTGCTGCCCCCTGCTGGTGTCATCGCAAAGTAGTCTGTGCCACAGATGTAAAACTAGTTTGGTTTATGTCCATCAACTATTTGTTTGTCACAATATTAGTCACTCCAGAAGCCCTGAGGAAGGGACGCTCATGTGATGACTAATACATCACTGTAAAGTAATGATCCAGACTTTTAAAACAACAGCTTTTTTCGGCCTTCATTTAACAGATATTTGATCTAATTAAATTATTATGAATTAAAATGTGTGGAATCATAAAATGAAATGCGTTAAATTAAACCAGAATAAAGACATTTTGAAGATGACACTTATAAGCATCATCCTTCTCTAGTGAGTATTCTAAGTATAGAAAATTATTTTCCATTGAGGGGAGAGCATGTTACCTCTGAGCAGGGTTTTCCTCTTGTCACAGTATTGGATGGTCAACAACTTGATGAAGCGGCTGGAGTTGTTGTTCTTCAGAGTCTTTGCATGACCGAAGGCCTCCAGAATGCAGTTAACCTGCATTTTATTTTTTTAAACCAGAGGAAATATTAACAGTGAGTGAGTGTTTATGCCCTTTTTTTCTCCCCAAATAATGATATTATATCTAGTGTGAAAATAAAAGGTCCATTTCCACCACTAGATGTCAATATGCACCCGGTAAATGGGAGCCTGGTGTTTTGTGTGTCCTAGGATGATCAGACAGAGCTGACCCAGATATATCAACTGTAAAACGATGACTTCATCACAAACACACACTTGTACTCCCAGCTACACACTGCTTTGTTAGTGCAGAGCAGTGAATCATGTGTTAGACACCACGAACACGTCGCACCTCCGTCTACACATCGGGGAATACACGAGGAGGCAATGATGCAAGTGCTTCGTTTCTTGTTGACATACAGGACTACAGAGGACACAGAACTCTCACCTCAAATACCTTGCAAACAATATTATAATGTGTCAGAATGGTTATTTATTGTAGCCTCTCTTGATTCACTGGAAAACCGACCATGTAGCGGATACGTCTATTTGACATTCAATTGTACTCTACCAAAAAAAAAAATCAATACACCTTCATTAGGCTGTAAAGTTCAAGACAAATGGACGACCTCTAAGAAAACCGCAAAATGATTCTAGTGATTTGATGGCTGCAAATGGGTTTTTTCTTGGGAACAGTAAAGATCATCTTAATGGCAATCTTCATCACGCAATCAAACACAATGTCTGGATGCGGTCTTTGACGATAGAACAGCTAACAGGCAATGAAGAAAAGACGACCAGCAAAGCCCTGCCCCCCTCCCCCCCGCTGTGTCTCCACTAATCCCTCCGTCTATTCTCTCCTCCAGCACGGCCACGAGGAGAACAGCGGGAGATATTTACAGCGCTACGACAAGAGATGACACATGAGAGGGAACAATAAACAAAGAAACATAAATAAATAATACGCACAGAAAACATGAACGTCGTGAGCTTCTCGATGAGGACCGATTTTGCGGAGCATTGAATTTGAGATGAAAAAGATGTCTACCATAAAAACTGTTGATCTAGTCGTACTGCAAATCCAACGCAAAGACACAAGAGCAACAAAAGGATTCAAGACTCATGCTCAGAGCTGTGCGTTACATCACGTATTCCAAAACCATTTAAGCCCACAAGGCACCCGGTGACTGTTTGAAGTGGTAGTTGTATCAGGACCAGACTTACATGCTTCATTCTGGGCTCCAGCGTAAAGCCTTTGGGGCTGGAGCGGGCTGCCAGGTGTCTCACGATGTGCTTACAGGCCTCCGTTTTCCCAGAACCACTTTCACCACTGGAGAGACAGAAGAAAGGCTGATTCAACGACCTTAAATGATGCTCGTTATTTGTCACGTCTTTTTTAAAGCAATAGAACATTGCTTGTTCCTCGGGTTCATACTGAACATTTAGTGATATTTCCTTATGCGCTTCCAAAATAAGTGACAGGGTACAAATTCCCCATGTACACTTTGCATGTTGATTTAATATTTCAATCTTTATATTGCAACACCTGCAAAACATCTGGACAACGGGTTAGAAAAACTAATGAAATAAAGTTATTAGCTGCCATTCATTTGACAATGAAAAACACATCAATCATGGCTGTGCGTTACCATTCTCTGGGTGCACTTCCAAAGAACAGATGCAATTAATCATCAGGGTGTTTCCCCACATCTGTTCCCCGTTATATGTCTCCACCTACCATACATCACCCCCCCGAGGAACCTCCACCCATCACAATCTATTCCTTCGGTCTGACTCAACTGACGTTGCTCCGCTGGTCCTCAATTTCAACATGGCGTTGCAGCCACAACTTATCCGGCGGTGGGCGTCCATAAGGTACCTCAGCAGTTCACGCTCTGCCACCCAGCGACATGCACAGAGCGCCATGGTAGCAGCAAGCAGATGGCTTCAGAAGGTCAGCAGCCCGCACTAATGAACGCAGTGCGTTCTTGTGTGTTACTCGATTTCCTACTTGCAGCCCTGCTGAGAGCAAAGTCCAGAGGCCTTTCCACTGTCTTTTCATTTAGCACTTTATTTAATTTCAAGGGCATTTTGTTAGAGCACTGGCCTCGGGGGGATAATGGCCTGTAAATGTGTAGGTGTGTGTGTCTATGTCAGGAAATAAAGAGCACAAGACAACAGAAAGGATGATTAAAGCGTAGCAGGGAAACTAAACGAAAGGAGTGTGCACATGACGGCGCATTGTGCAATGCCCCAGCATGTGTGTCTTTGTGCGAGTGAGATGGACAGCCTGTGGCCAGGGCACATTAACTCTCCGCCGGATTGGTTACAACTCAGCAGGAATGTCACTGCAGAGCCAGAGCGGGATTTAATTGCTATCCAGGTGCTGCCTCCGTTCATCAGAGGACAAGACCACTAAAAAGCTGCGCACTGAACAGGCGGTTAATCCCAGAGGGACTGTTTAACAGGCGTGAGGCCGCGTGTGGGGGGGTGGAACAACCAGGTGGCCGGCCCAACGTCACTATAATTTGAGCAATTATTTGACCCAGTTGAGATTTTTGTTTGACAATCCAGAGGCAGAGACTTCAGTGTGTGTACCTCAAAATGAAACACTGCGGGCGTCCTTCCTGCAGCATCATGTGGTAGGCCCGCTCTGCTGAGGAGAAGATGTGAGGAGGCAGAGAGGAGCACAGACGACCCGTGGAGCTCAGGTACAACTGACTCACCTGTGAGAGGAAGAAAAGGTAGAGAGTCCGCAAACAATCTGACAACAACCTCGTGTAACAGGGACACATGTGAGAGCTCAGCAACACAGAGGATGATGCGTTTGCTGAACATAACCTCTCCAAGCCTGGAGTTTGGAAGGAAGACCGCGGATGCTGTACAGTTCTGCTTTTCTTACTCTTAAGGAGGTTCTTATATGCATAGTATTGTTTCTCAGTTAGGTTTTACCACCTGAATTGTCCAATGTAACCATTAAGAGAACTATGCACGCAGTCTTCCTGGAAAACCCCCAGAAGATGTGTACCAGTACTAGGAGGATGGGCTTTGGACCACCAGACCATCGTTGGAGGAGGGGAGAAGGGGGGGGCAGATGGCCAGCAGAACACACATGTTGTAACATATGTCCATCACACTCTGGCTCCTCCCTGCTCGTCCACACATCCTCTCAGTCGAGTGTGGACGCCTGGAGAGAGTCCAGACGAAAGCAGGAATGGGACAGCCAGAGGGGGGGGGGGGGGGGGGCCTGCTCTCTTTTTGTTTAGCCAAGGAAGAGGGGTGGTCCCCTCAATTCAAACCCCCCTGGGGGCCCATGGGGAGAGACGAAGATGGCTGTTATATTTGCCATTTTCAAAAGGAGCGCCCCTCTGCTCAAAAAAGGGGGACCTCCCCCCGCTCAAAAACGACAGGAGGGTTAACGAGGTCCTTTTACGAGCGTCCTCCTTTGAGCTGGTGCAAAAACCCAAAAAAAATCCGGCATTGTTTTGAGGTGTGAGAGGAGAACCTTTTGGGCCGTAAAGCAAATAGGGAACTCTCCTCCTCCCTTCGGGATCAGTACGGGTGTGGGTGTGTTTACATGGACGGAAGACTGCATTATTTATCAACTACAAGGTCCATTTCATCTGTTCATGTCCTGCTTATTATACAGCATTATTATACGCTCTACATTATGCTTTTGTATTCAAAATATATATCCTAATAAAAATAGAGCCACATGTTTTAAGCTGAGATCGCGGAACACAGACCTGCATATTAAGCATTAAGAGAAAGATCGGCATGTAATTTAAGCCTTTCTGAAATCGAGTTCATTTGAAACAGCTGCTTACCAAAGTGGAGTAGATGGGCAGCTCTTTGTTCGGATTGACCAGCAGGAGGATGTGTCCAATGTAAGTCTACGAAAGAGAACAAAGAAAACACACCTGACTCACTTTAATAAATCTGAGGCATTTCTTTTTGGTGTTTTTTTTTTGTTTGTTTTTTAAGTTGACTGTTTTGACATGCAAACAGACTGAAGCTGGTTTACAATTATCGTCGGACTGCCCAGTTTTCTTTTCAATCTTAATCTTTCAATCTTTTAAATTTCAGCGACAGGCCATAGAAAGGTAAAGAAGTGACCTCCGACAATAACCTCAACATTAACCTCCAACAGAGAACCTGCTCTCCCACACAAACCCGGAGGTCACTTAGACCCTTTTCATTAGCCCTCCGTTTCTCTCAGAGCCCCAGAGGGCGTTTGAAAGGCAACACTCTACCCCCGGGAGACGGCAGACATCGTGTTGCGGGTTGCTCCGTCCTCAGGCTCCAACTCGAGGTCAACGACTTGAACATATCACAAATTCACACCGCACGGCTAGCTTTTTTTTTTTGTTGAGAGAATGAAACTTCAACACTAACTGGGTAAACCTTGACATGGAGATCACAAGTTTAGACAACAGTGTCATATCCTCCCCCTGGTTCCTTGCCGCTCCCCTCAGGGGTTTGGCAGTGCACTTGTCCTTCTACATTGGCAGCAGAACACTCCTCTGAGCCCCCTGCTGGGAACATATGGAGAATTCACCGAACTTTGTCCTCTCACCTCTTTCTGTCCTTCATCAAATCTCTGCTTTCTTCACCACTTTTTTTGAAATGCCTTCCCCTCGAGTGTATACGGTCATATCTCAAGCATAAAAAGAAGGTGCAGGAGGGCAGAAATACAGCAAATGTATTGATTTAGCACCCATAAAGGAGGAGTTTTACACAATCAGATCTGAAATGCTCCTACGGCCCGATGATCGCTTCACTTTTCTTCTGCCAAATTGGACTGCACCTCTAGTGCTCATTATACGGAATTCTTCTCATTTCTTTCCTTCATCCGACACTCTGCTTCCGCTTATTGTCTTCCTCTTATCTGCTGCCCCCCGCTGTGGGTAACCGCGCTGTCTGTCGCCCATCTGGGTTTCTATAATAACAGACTATTACTGCTTCTTCACAGAGAAGAGCAGCTCCACATTGATCTGGATCCAGTCTTCATAGCGCTCAGTCGCCATGGAGAAGAATGAGCCAGAACACAGTTTTAAAGGAAGGGAGAAAATGACAGGACAACAAAAGGGGACCAATTGTTGGAGATTAAGGCACTTTACCCCGGAATGATAGCTATAGATTCATCTTCCAATCGATTGGATGGTGACATTTTTCAATTGTCACCAGTGTACGTATGTGTGCCTTTGCGGGTGTGTGTGTGTTTATGAATTGGTTGCCCCTGTAAGTCAGCAGGCCAAATAAAGAGAGGGGAGGGAACTCAACCAGGGATTTATGACTAAAAAGCAACATTGCTTTTTAGTCATAAATCACCGCTGTGTTCAGGAGAGAAGGTACAGTATTTGTATTGCACGGTTTTTACTTCACAGAGTGCAGGGAAACCTGCAGCAGTGCTCATGGGTATAAAGATGGTGTCATGTGATCCAAACATCACAGTCTGAAATTGTAAACAACAACAACACTCCACTACAAATTAACCAATGCAGCAGCCCAGTTATGCCTTAAAGAGTTTGCATGCGTTTGTATTTGTCCTGTGCGCTCCGTGTCTCTATGCCTCCTGGTTCAGTGGCTCGATGACAAGTGTTGATTTTTCTTACGTAGATTTGGTCGTTTCCAAAGCGCTTCTGCATCTCGTAGAGCAGGCTGCTGTCGGTCAGCTCACTGAGGGACGACAGGTCGTCATTGGGAGCGGGAGGCATCAGCTTGACCTGAGGAAAGAGCAACAGCCAAGTCAAATTCCTTGCATGTCTGACATATTATGGCAATAAACGTTTCCTGATCCTGAACAGGCTAAGTTGGAGTAGTTCAGTAGTTGGACAGTGGTCTTCAGTTAATGCCGCTGACGCTGAAAGAAAACACTTTATTACACTTGTATGTCCAACACACCTGGCAAATAAATGTTTCGGATTGAGAATATCTGCAATGCTCTCGGGTCTTAAATGCATACTACTAATGACATACTTATTAACTAGTACAGACTCGATTACTTCCTAATCATCGTTGCTAAATTAAATGAGTCAGATTCCCACCTCGGTCTGTCATAAAATCACATGCTCAAAATGAAAAGTGACAGTAAAAGCATTAATTGAAATGCTGAGCCTGAAATATAAAGAAATGATTGATGTAATGTCCGCCGTTGCGTTTTCTTCATCATGAAAACGGGACAGAGTAACGCATTCATCATATGAAGTTTCTCCACGTCCTTACTGCCTTATTGTGTTTTATGGTACGTGAGCTGTAGGAGGAGAAGGTACCTGCTCCAGTTTGCTGGCTCCAGAGCTCGAGGGTCCGTCCAGGCCGTTGTCCTGAGAGGGCTGTCGGCTCAGCGCTCCGCTGGCCTCTCTGAACATGGCACAGCGCTCCAGCAGACAGTCCCGCTTAGAGAGAGAGAGACCCAGAGGGTTCCTGTGCGATACAATGAGAAAAGACAATGAGTAAATAAACAGGAAGTATACTTAATACTATACAGGGGGATGAGATAAATGTATGAGGCAGGGGGACAATATTAACAATTAATGAAGTAACCATGAGATAAAATTGTGTTAATGAAACCTACAAGTTCTTGACAGGAGCGTTGAGGTCGTGAGAGCCATCATCGTAGCGTTGGTCAGTGGAAGGTAGAGGAGCGGAGGGGTCTTTTAGTCTCTGCAGCCAGCTCTCCTCTGCATTCTGCAGCATATCAGCAATGGGCTCACATGTGGAAATGTCTGGTGAAATAGAAAATAGTTTATATTCTTCCATTCTGTGCCATCAAAAAAACAACAACATACAGTTATTGATGTTGTTGGCTAAACATCTAAATTAAACTACACTAAAAGCAACAGACACATCTCTCTGTTCACTGGTCTCCCAGCATGCCAACCCTGCTTCCCTCTCCGGGTGAACGAGCAGACGCTGGTATACAAAGTGAACCCCGCTGAGGATCATCCCACTGTGCTTAAGGGAAGGGGGAGATAAGACCCCCATCTGTAATGAGGTCTAACAGGGCACCGGGGAGGAGAACGGCTTCATTTAAGTACGACTGATAACCCCCTGGACCCCCGTCTCTTCTCGCGTTCTCTCGTCATGTGACCGCTGAAGGAGGAACGTGGGGCTTCAAGTGAGAACGAGGGAATTGTCTCAGTCTCTGAGGGCTTGTCTCACATCTTTTCTGAGCCTACATGCTAGAAGGAGCAATCGATTGAAGCCGGACCGGGGAAGTCAGAGGTGTGATGAAGCCATGGGAGTAAATAGTCAGAGGCAGCTGTGGTATTATATCCCCCTCATCACCATCACGCTGACATTTAACGAATGTCAACGAATGTTTCAACGAATACACGGCATTCACCAGCAGCCCGGTTCAGTAAATGGTCTAATAGTGGATTCAGATTTAAGATGCAGACTTCTACCCTTGCTCTGCGTGTGTGTGTGTGTGGAATTTAGAAGATTCAGGATCATTGGGCCAATTACGGCTTTCACTACAACTGCAGTGTTCATCTTCTAGAAATTAATGAGATGATTCCAGTCTGTTTGAGGGGTTGCGTTTGCTCGTGGATTATGGCCTGCATACACACCACCCTCTGCATCAGGAATGTGCTTACATCACATTCCTGCAGCTTTCATCATAGAGCCTGAGATGGGCCTTCTGCCTACACAAAACATTAAAATCTACTGTTTTACAGCCTACTCCACTTGTACACAGACAGACCATTATGACAGGATTTTCCGTCATTTGAACCCCGCACAGCTGTATCAGCCTAACAGCAGATTACGCTTGATGGTTGCAGCGCTCTGTACGCACCGACTTGGCTAAAATTCTCCCCCTGAGCGGAGAGCCGCATGGAGCTGCCCTCACTTTCTATCATCAATCTCTGCGAAAGAGCGAAAAACTGCTTACGGTGAAAAACATTGGCAGTACATTTAATTTAAATCTAAGAAGGTCGGAATTTATGGGGTGTTCTTGATTTCAAATAGGATTGTAATGCTGGAGAACATTCCTGCGATACTAGTTGCTTTAGTGCCAACCAGTCCAAACAGAATCCTCCAACTCTACACTCAAACAACAACTTTGCCCACGTTGAATCGGGGCAAATAGTCTTTATTTACATCTATTATGCCTTGATTATTAAAAAAAGGATGAATTCCCTCTTCATTATGATACGATACATTAATGCCCGTAAGCAAATTAATCACTCAAGCCTCTTTTTGATTACTGCCGACACTCCATTTAATCAACGCATGTGTGAATGTGTGACTGTGTGTATGCATGAGTACGGTGTTTTCTTTCATTAATAAATGAGACGCACTCAGATAAGCAAAGCTCAGCGGTGACTGATTGTGACGTAACCTCATCCACTGTGTGCCGAGTGTATTCCGTATTATCACTGATTATTAATGCGTTTGCAGCTGAATAAGTCAAAATCCACTTAATCCGCTTCACTGCCTCATTAACTTCTGATTGATAAAAACACGTCGGGACCATTCCAGCAGCAACCTTTTGTACGTGTGTGTGTGTGTGTACATGTGCATTTTTGAATGACTGCTTGAATGTGTTACCTGAGGGCTTGTCTTGGCTGCAGTTCAACAGAGTCGGGTTCGCTCGGTGCCTCAGGAGCTGACTAACGATGCTCGTCTGTAGGAGAAGGGAGAAACGCCCGCATCCATTTCCATTTCATCCTCAGAAGAAAAGCACGATTAACTGCAGCAACATTCAAACCATCAGTGACAGATAAAAAAAAAAATAATGAATAGTCGTAGGAGATTTTCCCACATTTTCTGCTACAGGATGTAGAATATGCAGACCTGGAATTTGAACACTCGGATGATGCAAACAATGTACGTATGTCACGTCTATTCAACCACTGTCCCTGACTGGGCAGATCCTTCCATAATAAGCCCATCCTCCACCACATGTCACGGTGGAAGAACCCCTAGTCGTCGACACTCATTTTCATATGATGGCTGTCACCTCTGTCCTCTATTGTTCTGTCAAGGTTTTTCCTTTTAGTCTGTCAGGGTCTCCGTCTGACACGTTCACCCTTCCTGCTCATTGGCCCCTTTCTATTCCTTTTTACATTCTGACTATTAACACTGCTCTTTGACTCCAGGGATCAGCTGTAAGGACGTGTGAGGCACTGTGTGATCTGTGAATATAAAGTGTGACTTAATTCATTGATCATGGACAAGAATCTCCCCTTCTTGGTCATATAAGACATGAACTATCTCAGGAGATAAATAAAAAAAAAAGCCCTGAACCGTCTCACCCAGAACATTCTAGGAAAACAAACGTAAGACATCGGCTGCTGCTTTTCACTGTGCCACCCAATCACCAGATGAAAACATCTGCATTGTATGGTTCTGCAAACCATGGATATATTGAATCTTAAAGTTGTATGAACAAACGAAACGAAGCACCGGTCTCCATGGTCACTCAACACATTTCCACTATTAATCAAGTAATTCACTTCACTTTCACAAGTGACTATCAAACAGCAGTAAACCACAGTGTCATCCTTAACTTGTTACCGATTGTCAACAGTTCACTGCATCAACAAGGCTTCTGAGACGCTTCAATAGAAACAAACCCACAGCATAAAAACTAAAAATGGACTTTTTAAGACATGCTCATTTAACCATTACAATAAAAGGGCACTGCACTGATTTTACACCTCAAGATAAATGTATTCATCCTGTGCAGAAACCACTCAGCCTGTGGACAAACATTTGTGTCATTTCCTCAGCGGTTCCAAAGTAGCAGAACTCGGTTGCGCTGCAGCAGAGCGCGAGGCATCGCCTGCAGTACGGGAGAGCGAGACTGAGCACATTCAGCGGACTCAACGAACATCAACAGCTGTCTGTCTGTCTGTGAGTCGATAGCATCTCCTCTGCCAACAGGCCGTGTCAGCTTCACCCGCACCCTTTAAATACGGACGACACACGCGTCAGTGGCACCACACAACTCGTTAATCGGTCAGGAGGACGAGGAGAAGGTCGGTACATTGGTTCCGCAGTCACAGGCAAACGTCATTACCGATGCGGATTCACATAGACCAAGTCTTCTTTTTTATTTTTTTTTTAAAGGCCCAAATTTCTTTTAAAAATACGCTTCGGTTTAAGATTATGAGATTAACATTGAAATGCTTGATAAATTGCCACAGCTTTCACATGTACCTTCAATCTAAAAACGGATTAATTAATCCAACCCCAACACACAAAACTATTAAAAATCCTTCCCTTAAGAGAAAACCCCTTGAAGAGCCTACAATGAAATAGAGGACACCCAGCGCCGGGGTCGGTCTTATCCCCGCACTGAGACGGCCAGGCTTAATTAGCTGCAGTGATGGGGTCATGCATCTTCTTAAAGGGTCAGTGTCCTGCGTGTGCAACGCTGCTGACGGGGATTGTAGGGTTCAACGGTCCAGCTCGCGTTACCGTTCGCCAGCAAGTGTTTCCAGCCAACAGTTTGCTTCCTACAAGCAGAGCCTGTTCTTGGCGGACCGACGATGGAGTTGCTTGGATGCATTTACACGCCTGGAAGCCATGGCACGTCACTGTCAGTTTAAGGGAAGGGTGACAGGAAACAAGTGTTCAGACGGCTCAGCGAGTTGTTGGTATGCACGAGGCAAAGCGCCGGCACCAGGGAAGAGTCGATGGCTGAGGTGATTTAGCGCTGCAAGGGAAACTAATCGATTCTGCAATCCTCTGGAATGCCACTCTCAAGTCGGAAGCACTCACATCTCTTTCTCACACACACACAAATTTGCTTATGCACAAAGTCTTAAAAACAAGAGTCACAAAAAGCTTATTCCAATTAGAGGATTGAATATCATATCTTTCTGTAGTTTTCTCGATTTCTTATTTTTCCTTTTTTTTAGCAGCCCAAGCACAGAGCAGAGATGTTATCACACATCCAGTTGGGTCAGCAAGATCAGAATGTGTCACTTCCCTTCCCTCATTGTTGGACTCCTTCCCAACCAGATCTCATCGCTCCAACAACGCACCTCCACCCCATTTTGAAATCAATCTCCTTCTCTGTGAGAGACCATTAAACTGCTAATCTACAATGCTGTAACAAATGCATGTGCAGTACACAGCTCAGCGCCAGCAGTGCGACTGCTGCTAATCGATATGCCCAAAAAGAGAAGCTTATCAGAGCATGTACAGAGTAACTGGAGGCAACGTCCTCAGAGGAAGCACTCCTCAATCAATAACTTCCTTGTTATTTCTTTCATCCGTTCATACAACTGATGACCACAATCATATTGGATCAATGCAACTAGATGAGTAGAAATGAGGGGACTACTCCGTTAACGTCAATGACCTTGTGACAGTTTGTTGAGCGCCCGCGAGTTACCTGTCCATATTTAGCAGCCAGGTGGAGAGGGGTCCAGAAATGGTTGTCGGCTGGATGAGGGTCGGCTCCACTCTCCAACAACACAGACACCACCTCCCTGTAGCCGCTGGCACACGCTATGTGCAGCTTCAGAGACAGAGAGCAAACAAGGAGGTGAGCGGGAGCTGCCGAATCTCGTTAAGTCAGAGGTGAAGAAAGAGAATAAACACATGTGACTGCGCTCACCAGAGTGACGCCGTCGTCGTTGGGCAGGTTGAGGCCTCCTCCGGTGGCCACCAGCTGTCTGACATCAGAGAGCATGGTGCTGGCGCTCTGCATCTTCATTGTGGGCACAGATGACACGTCCACGCCTGAAAACACACAAAAGCAATTGAGACCCTGTTTGACATTGGAGACATTCTACGGCACTTACAGCACGTGCGTTATAATTAAAGCTGGAATCCCATGAAACCAAAAAGGATGAAACCGCGAGCTCGGCTCCGTCTAAAGGAAACTGGCCTACGCAGCGGTCAAAAGGGGCATTGTGTGCCTCTTGTATTTTAACTTAAATGTAGTGACATTAAATTACAGCGTTTTGACACATTTTACATTAAAGATTCTACAGCTTCAGCGGGACTAAATCTCTGGAGAGGATTTGGCGTGAGGTCAGCACGGCGCTCTCCCCGATAGCAGTGGTGCGTTATCAGTGCTGAATTCCAGCACAACCTCAGTTCGCAACTTGAGGGAAGAACAAGGGAAAAATAAAACACTAAAAACGTCCAGCAGACAGGAAACATCTGGATGAGATTGAAGTCTGGCAGATCAAGTGATGGGCAAAAGTGATCTTGATTAGGATATCCAATAAAGTAATAAAGTGAGCAAGGCTGCTGTAGCCATCTCTCAGGCTGACACGGCAAAACTAATAACTTTGTCTTTACAAAACAAAAGAAAGGCAAAGGGCGAGTAGTTTTTAGGAACAATACCCCAACAGAAGAGAATTCCTATTCTCTGAAAGGCCAACGCTTGGTGAGTTCCAGTATTACATGAAAAATAAATGACTCTCCTGCGACAAAAAGAGAAACCAGAATTCCCTTTTCTTTTTCCCCACAAACCTGATGGGGATAGCGAGAGTACAGCCAAGTTGCTATAGCAACAGAGTGAGTAAGAGTGTGTTTCACGGCGGCAAAGCCCAGCGTGATGAAGAAGAGGCTGGGGACGGGTATCAGGGGGGCACACGGGAGGGACAGATCACCACGGGGGCTGGCTCTCAAAATAATCAGTCAGCCTGTGTGTGTGTGTGTGTGTGTGTGTGTGTGTGTGTGTGTGTGTGTGTGTGTGTGTGTGTGTGTGTGTGTGCAGGGTGGTATTGGCTTTGGTGAGTTAGCGGTCGCTGTACAGTCTTGAATTTCTCATATGAACTGGAGGCCGATGGGGGAGGGAAGATCCTCCATCAGTCTAAATCTGTGTCTAGCTTTGTCAGCATGATGTTCGCTCCCCTTTCTGCGCCCGTCTCTGTGTTTTGGCACTTTTCCCTTCCTCTCCCGCTGCCACTGAGCCTTCCCTGCATCGCTCCATGTGTGCCTCCAACTCTCCTGTGCCTTCATCTCTGTTATGTGCGGCGCCCGTGTTGACCTTCTCCCTTCTGTGGGAGACAAGTGTCCAAATTGTAGTCCACCATCATTGGGCCTGTGGGTGTACTTCTCCTTCAAACACAAAACACAAACCCACACACACGCGCGCAAAGAACACACCAGTTTAACCGCTGGTGTGCCGTATAATAACCAGTCACGCCACCCCGATGACTCGTAAGCAAAGGAAATAGACACGGAGTAAGCTTGATTTCATTCCTTCTGTGGAAACATGTCAATGAGCCCCTGCGTTGCATTGAATCACACTTTTAACGGAGCCATGTTACGTGGAAAGTGAAACGTTAATGTTGCCTCTCTCTCTCTCGCTCTTTCATGGAACAGACGAGGGGCGCAGAGCTCTTACCTTTTTCCTCCAGGTGTTTTCGGAGAATAAAGCCGGTCTCTGTTCCCTCGGCGGCGTAGTCCAGAGGAACGTTTCCGTTGACGTCCTGCAGCAGAACATTAGCCCCCGTCTTCCACGCGCATAAGAAAGAAAATTAGTTTTAGCCGGCGGGTCATTTATCAGACTTTGTTGACGTGGGCACAATTATCGTGGCTTCCCAGAGGCGCACACCTGAGCAGAAGCATGGAGACATTAACAGACAATACAGTGAATTAAAGAACTCATTAAATAACGTCCGGGGGAGGGGGGCGGGGCCAAGGAAGCGGGTCTGCGTGTGTAAAGATTATTGTGTATTTACTTAACAAAGACCCCGCCAAAGCAGTCCGTTATAACACAAGATAACACGCCCCCACCCCTCCCCCCTCCCCTCCCTCGGGCTCCTTGAATGACCGTTACTCTGACGGCACAGTCGGCGGTCACAATGAGCCAAACGATGAAATGCTTCCCTTCGGACAAACTCCACTGCACTTATTAATTGTGAGAACGTTGCCACCCTTTACCAGTGAATGTGTACAAGCCGTGCAAAATGCACCCGTGTGGACTTCACTGTTGTCCTTTCCATTCGGATCATCTCCGGTGGGACTGGCTACTAAAAGTGACATACATCCTTTCAAGAGGAAATTGTCAGCATCCAGCCATAAATCGCGTCCGGTTGTCTGACTCAACCGTAAAAGACAAGCGGGTGTAACGATGGAAGCTGGACCAGGTCTGATAACAGCGACTCCAAGCGAGGATCCTTATTGAATATTTACAGCTAATAGAATTCTAACAGCAGAGTTGAAGAGCGGCAGAGAGATTTACGACCCAGTTCGTAAGTAGACAGAAAAGAGAAAAAACAGGAGGAAGCCGGCCGACAGAGAACGGTTAACGGAGAGGACGCCGAGCCTGAAACCATCCGTGCAACCTTGCAATGGTCATTTATTTCTAAGCGAACAACGTTTTCTCCCTTTCCTTCCTTTTTAGAATAATAGCATTTTGAAGGTATTCAAGAGAAAACGAGAGATGAAGAGCTGTTACAGGGCGATAAAAGCAGCACAATGCAGGCAATTCCAATATATCAGTCAAATCAATATGTGGTTAATTGTGCACCCATCATCTAGTGGGAGCTGTTTTTGCTCCCTCATAAGGGGCGAGTAAGGGGTTAACAAAGGGAATTAATTAACTATTCATGAGAAAACAAGAAACCTTATCGCGAGGACTGGATGCACAGCTTGAACAGCAAATGATGATGAGTGAGGCAGTGTGCGCGTTATGATGCCCCTCTTACCCCTCCCCTCTATTTTCAGATATAGCCTACATCATCAATATACACACGCCATCAATATTCCCCAGATTTGTACTTTGCACCCAAACGGTAATCAACTTCCACATAAACCTGAAGGCTCCCCCCAGGGTGCCGCTGTTAAATATGTGTGTGTGTGCTACTTAGTGGGGATTAAGGTGTGCGAACCCAGACAATTCATTTAAAAAGGTCCAGTAAAACTCAACGAGATCCGGCTGAATGATAAATATATAATATATCTTGCTCTGCCGTCTCTCCCATCAGAGTTACACACCTTGTAATGTAGGAAGTGCAGAATTGTTCTGTGAAAATGTTAAATTTGCTTCCGTCTTACACCAGAATGCCCTTTAAAACAATAACAAGCCAGTAATCAACATAAAACAGAAGAAAAACCTTGCTGTGCACAAATAACCAGCAAAACGCCACAAACAGCAATAATTTATCTCAACATCTTTCAAACGGCACAAAACACACACAAAGTGCCTGAACCAGCAGACAGATTACGTAGAAGGATGCATGGCGTGCGTCGACCATTGATCCAAAGACATTAATCATGTGTCACAGCTAACGAGATAAGGGCTGGCAGTTATAAATGAGTCGGCGCTAACAAGTTGACTTCTGACCCCCGACGCGCTCCCAAGCCACGATATGATGAATCCACCTCGGACGTCCCGGGCAGGAAAATCTGTTCATTCTACGCTGCACGTGGGTTTTGCATGTCAGCGGTTACATGCAGCCACTCCCACGGAATCAATATCAACTAGCACATACGCGCTGAAAGGGTCCCCTCGGGACGTCACGCTGTTAGTCACAGCCCGGCGGATTTCATCCCAAATATGGGTCCCCACGCAATCTCGTGTTTCTTTAAAAAAAAGGTCACATGTCAATCCAGTGACCCACGAGCCTTCACACCTGACTATCAAAAATATGTCACGAGGAAATGTACTGGAGGCAACTGAGCAATTATTGTTCTCCTGTGATTGCTGCAGTGTTGTTCTTGTAAACAGCGGAGGCGGCTGGAAGAAACCGTAATCATCCCACATCTGAATCCTCAAAAGTATTTTTGTCTGCACATTCTGTGGATTGTGGTGCAGATACTAATGCTGTGATAAGATGATTTACTGCCCTGCAGACCACTCTAAAACTAAATGCGTCGTGGCAACATTCAATATTTACTCACAACGTTGTGGCCATCAATGGATAACGTGCCACAGTTGCTCAGGTTTTTTTTTGGAAGGAGGGGGGGGATGTATTTTCAACAGAAAATCCACAAAAATCAAACTAGTGTGAGATGCAGCTGAGCGCCTGCTTGTTAACCGCTTGACTTCAAAGCACTCAGAGTCAGACGTTTTAAATTCATCATTTTCCAGCACGGAAAGTGGGTCACTTGAAGAAGTGTAACCCTGTTAGGTTTTAAACTGCGAGATGAGAAACGCACTTTGGGACAGAACCCGTCTACAGGCATCAAGTTATTGCATTACTACGTCTCCCCCGGCGCAAGTTTACACACAGAAACAGTATTTCACAGGGAGCTACGATACGACCAAGAAGACAAAGAACACAACAAAAAAAAATCAATTGAAATGCTTTGGTTGTAAACAGTTTATGTTGTTCAGGAGTCCATATTTTCAGTATGTAATTAAGTCCAATCATCTAATTGACAGAATTTTACAAAGAACCAAATTAGGACATAAATTAAGACATAATTGAGCCACATAAGATGGAGCAGGTTTGGATGTAACGCGTTAAAATCAAGGCCCTCGCTCTCGCTTGTGTTCGACTCTGGTGAAATCTACATAAGAGACAATCCACCGGGTCTCTAAATGGACATTTAATGCTCTCAGTGAGTCTCAGTGACCAACATCAAGCAGAGCGTTGGATTTGGCAATGGGCCGGGAATCAGACAGTTTAGAAATGGCTTACTGCTTCTCCTGCCGTTTGGAGGCAGGAGATAAGAGGCGAAAACATCAGTGCCAACCCAAACACAGAGCAACAATGGCGCCCAGCCCCCCCAACACTCCGCCCACAAGCAGAGCCCGGTAACATCTGTCCGCAAAACAATATTGGCTTCTCGATAAAGGAACTGTAGACAACAACAAAAAATGAAGACGGGATGCAGAGGACGAGTGGATGGGAAGTGGGACAAGTGGGACCACATAGATTATTCCATATTAGGAGCACTTCTCCTTCCTGGGCCGATGTGAGATAAAGCTGCCGGTCGAGACTACGATTCCACTTCTCATTAAAATGCAAACTCATTATATTGGGAGGGAAGATCTGCCACTTACAGCTGTGATAAGGCTCCAGCTTGCAGCGGAGCGGAATGACAGGCAGGGCCTGCAGTAAAGGGGGATGGTGGATCGACTGAAGCTTTGTCTTTACCCTTAGACACAAAGAGCAATTGTTACATTTCAAGTAGCTTCTCCAACTTGGCTCCTGACAACCGAAAAACATTGTCACAAAAGCAAAATGATCCACATGGGTATATTCAGTCAAATAAATGAGCGCTTACCATCTAAAGTACTTTGCGGCTGGGACATATTTTGGTGTTGCCTAATTAAACTGGAATAATCTTGAACTTTTCACAAAGTTGAGATTGTTTCGTCTTTCTCTCTCTAACCCTCGACCTCTTCAGCTCTCTGGATTATGACCTCTTTGTGGTGTATGGGAGACATTCAGTTACTTCCTTGCAGCACTGCATCTCTCGCTCTCGTGGCATTGCCCATCATGAGAGCAGAACTCACTGCATAAATTCCATTTGCCGTATCCATGTCACACCCTGCTCGACGAGCTCGGCAGCCGGCATCAATCTTTGCTTCGAGGGAATTCCAATGCCTGCAAACATGCAAACGCACAACACACACACGCACACACACACGAAGCAGCAGTCACAGGCTGACAGTTTTTCTCTCTGCACATCCTCTCCCTGGCAGCTCTTCAAACGGATCCATTCCTCTCAGGAACGTCTTTCCCGCCCCGCACACAGGCAGCAATCACTCAAGACCCAATCAGCAGAACCAGGCTGTACTGGGCCGCACTGCAACCGTTAAACCCTCCGTGGGTCCAATCAACACCAGCGGAACAGCACGCAAGAACGAGCAGACAGGGTGTGCAAGCCCTCCCCTGCAGCCGGCCCCGCTCTCGTTCCAGACCAAATCAGTACAACCGCAGCTCTTGTCAACAGAGACTCATCAAGAGCGGGTAAGCGTCCTCCGCAGAGTGGGCTCCCTATTGTTGATATCGTGCTAATGCACGAATTCTGAATATTCTCGCTTTCAACGAAGCAGCCGGCTTTCGATCCCTAACCCCCTTTGTGAACGGAAAGCGCTTCACTTTCTGGATGACTAACGCGAACGCAGCCACTGGTCCAAAGCGGATTTGAAACCCGACGTTAGCACGCCGACGCGTTCCAAAACACTAATCTAATTTGCAGCTGACACGCTGGAAATTGCGAGGATCAACAGGAAAAGCACTACACCACAAATTGTGTGAGCTTGCACGTGAGAACGTGTGTATACGTTTTGTCAGCCCCCCCTCCTCCCAATAAGCCACAGGTTGATGTTTGCACGCATGTTTCTCACCAGCAGCAGCAGCAGCACCACGTCCGCATGGTCGCACACGCACGCCACATGCAGGGCGGTCCACAGGTCTTCGTCCTGCAGGTCGACGCTCAGGCCGCGCTCAATCAGAAGCTCCGCGGCGAACACGTTGCCGTGGCGAGCACACTGAGGAATGCAACCACAACAGGTTCCTTATTATTACTTTTCAGAAATGATGAACATACAGTGCCAGTCAGGTTTGGACCCTTTCTCATTTAAGTAGATTTTGGTAAAGGCAACTCATTTTGCAGTTAATTCAATTTGAGATTTACTCCAAGGTATGAATGTAAGTCAGTTTAACGTTACAACACTGTGGGCCTCACCAGGTGTAGCAAGGACCCCCCGGAGGAAGTGGGGGCGTTGAGGTCTGCTCCTTCCTTCAGGAGCCGCAATACTGCAACACAACAAACATCCGAAACGTTAACACCTGCTGTATGTGAAGACCGACCGGGTGCTCAGGGCAAATAGTGAGCACGAATAAACACATTGATCAGCAGCAGTCACTGGCAAAACCAACGTGCCGCCTGTCCTCGCCATGCCGGTGGGCATCAGTGTTAAAGTTGTGCGTGTTTGCCAGCTCCTGGTCACACGCACACAGAATAAGCCGGAGCGAGTCTCTCAACGCACTCGCACACTGACACGGATCGACTGAAGACGACACGGAGACCCACAAACAGGTTGACTCAGTCGGCCGTGAACACACGCGAAGGCAGTCAGAGTCTGAGAAAGGGTCACAGTGATTTCACTTTACCACTCATGAGTTATTTATTCAACATGTACCAAAAATGGATACGACAGAGAGAGATGAATAGAGCAGAGTGGACAAACAAGAAAGAGGGGCCTGTGCGCTGTGGTTTGGACATTCGCAATTTGACCGACACTGACAGCACTAGACGGGTACTGACTAAACCCTGGAAGACATTCTCCCAGCAAAGTAGCCACCAGTGTCACGCAATCCCACCACACACACACACACACACACAGGAGTCTTTGAGCAAAGAAAATGGCTCTGATGACGGTAACCATGGTAATTACAGCGGTAATAATTCTAGCTAATGAAACCTGCTGATGACCCCCACAAGGTCTTTTCACTTAAAGGGTAATTCTGAAGACAGGCAGGCTTAGATGACCTCATCCAACACCGCACACAGACACAAGAATACATCAAGAGTGTCTTAAAATGGATGATGGTAATAATCAGACTACTGATAAATCATCTGTTGTATACAAAGGTTAATAATGAGTTCATATATAACACTATACGATCAATGCAATACAACTAAAATGTGCCCCCAAATAAAGTGCATATATTACAATCCAAATAATAATAATATTAATAAATTCAATTGTACGACTCGTGAAACACGCTACAGCCGTTACACTAAATATACACCGAACTTCACTGATCCTTTGAATGTTTCATTATTGTTGAGCACAACAATGTTTCTTTGGTACATCTGGGTAAAACTAATAAAGAGCATCTCTGCAAGAAATAAATGTTTGTTGAATTTGGTTGAAGCAGGGTTTGAAAAGTGCCGTTTAAACATTATGATTCCACAGCACCACGAACTGCAGCCTCAATATGTAACTGTTCAGTTTGTATACAGACAAATACGCCTTTTCACACCCAAACCTCTCGATCTACTAAGTGATTCTGTGAGGAAACAATGTAGTAGGTTTGGTTTTTAAACTGTCGGATGCCATGCATTTTGTCTGACCAAATGATTCAAGAATTACGAAAATGATTTGATTAAAAAGCAAAGTTTCATATCTTAACGTGTGGTATTCTGATTCAAGATACGACTTTCACCCGTTCCCAATATTGTCAGCAGTCCCTTCTCGGCCTGTTGACTAATCAGTGTCCAGACCATTGGGCCAAACACAGTGCACACAGACGTTTCCCCACCCTTCTAATGGCCTTCAGTGCTTAATGGCCTTTAAATGGAGAAACAGGCTGGCTAACCTTCCAGTCAATCAGCACAATTATCTCCTGTATCCGCAATACACTGCTGGGGCTCAGACTGTAAACCCTCAATTAAGGCTAATCTAGCACTGAAGTTCTTACCAGGGAATAGATAATGATCCATCAAACCGTATTTCACAGGGCTGCTTTTTAGCAAATGTGGAGCAGTGGGTTTTTATAAGGAAGTGCGGTATCACGTGAATCGCTTCCTTGCCAAAATAAACTATTGATGAGTGCAAGTGGTCTGGAGATGTCTCTTGCATGTGAAACTCCCCATCCATTAGAACCAGTTCATCTTAGTATTTGATAGAAGAACCTACTAGAGTTCCAGGGCACACATTTAATCGGATTAAAGAGCGCTCAAGCAGTCAGGAACGCAGTCTTGACCCCCCAAGCAGTTGAGGAAACAAAGCCTGCACTCCTGGGATACCAGGCCGCATGTCAAGTAGCAGGTCAGTACCAGGATGGATACAACTCACTGTTGTCTTTAAGCTCTAGAGCAGCTGAATATGAAAAACAGTATATAGTATTACTGAAGTTAATGTTGTCATATGGTAAAGTTTCATATGCAGAGTAAACAAGGCCTAATTATACAATCGGGGGAAGCAGAGTTGTTGAAGGGTTACGTTGAAGAATGTTCATCTCTTGTATTCCAGCTGAAATGGAAAAAGAACAGCAGGTGTCTCCATTTTCTCTCCATGCTAAATTTATTTGTCAATTGGTGGTTTGATTGCACACTGATTTTGGGTTTGGTTTCTTTGTGGCGCGGTGTGTGTATGTGTGTGTGTGTGTGTGTGTGGGCGCATTTGTGTTTGTTATAGTGCGTTAGGAGGCTGTTGACAGGAGTGGGAGCAACGCAAAGTTGGGTGTCATTTTGTGGAAAATTGCAAAACAGCCACAACGTATGTGGTGTTTCCATGGCAACTAGACAGGAACTGGTAGCATAGTGGAAAAGAGAGAAGCGGATTAAAAGGAGAAACCTAAGAAATACATATAGTATTAAATTAACAATCTGAAGTACACTTTCAAGTCGAAAAATATTGTCATTCTCCTCTAGCGAAAAGAGGTGATGCAAAGAAACAATACCACAAACCTCCACATCAAGCAGTGTCGGTGACAACGCCATATTATTCGCATTTGACTGAATTTGAAATAGATATTGTGCATGTGCACGTGCACGAGCATGACCTGTGGACCGAGTAGGGGATTAAATGCACAACCCTGTTTTGGGCATGTGAACCTGATTAATTGCTTAATTTTAACTTGCATCATCAGTCAAAATATAGTTTCACTGACAACATTCAATGTAATATGGATATCTGCATGAATGCTTATGTAGTTATTGATCTCCAATAATGGTACATTGCAAACAATCAACAGAGGCCAGTGGAAGCATCGCTAACAGCTAACAAACAAGGTTCCGTTACATTATGATGTGTTCAGGCTCTGTTCAGTGAAAACAAGTATTTGCCAACGGTAAATGAACAATTTCCTCACATGTGATCTTGTAATGAGCCTAGTAGACCAGCTACTATAATCACACAATGACCTGAATCGCCATTATGAATGATCAATGATCCACATGAGTATGGACTCCAATTTTCTTTGTACCGATCGGACCTGTGATCCGATCAGTGTCTCTAGTACGCGATACGATCTGAACCGTGACTTTTATTTTCCGTTGTGTGAATTTAATAAAACCCCTGTAATAAATCCTCCACAATGTGCCCTTTTCTCAACATTTGCGAGACCTACAGCATCGTTCCTTGGCACACTCTTAATAACACAGTCATAGCCACAAGAGGCACCGTCTCACTTCACCGCCCTTTGTTTCTGAGATGAGCTTTATCATTTTTCCAAGGTTTCGATCTTGAAGAAAAAAAAGGTAGCAGTCTAGTTTTCCAATAATTCTTTACAATGGAACAGGGTTCTGTAGTATACTTGTTCAGAAATGAGACAATTTTATGGAATGAACAGCTTGTCAGCGGGTAGGTATGCCTTTTCACAAGATACCAAACATCTATGAAATGTTCACTCACAACCACGTGTTTATTAACAAAGCCCTTCTGTTTTTCATGCTCTGGGTGATGGTGATTGGATAGGTTTTCAATGAGGCGAGTCCCAGGGACCCACAACAAAGAATAGCAAATGTTCTCGTTGTGGTCATGATGTTCGTGCTGTATATAAATCTGAAAAATTAACAAATTAAAGTCCTGCATTCTTTTTATTCAAACAAAGACGTGTTGTTCACAACGAAGCAGTATTAGTTAAAATAGGGTGTTTCCCCTGAAAGCATCCGTAGGGGTTACGTATGCTACGGCCTCTTTCAATTATTAGTACATTAAACATATTAAAAAGATTGACCGATGAGTCATCAAGTGACCCAATAAATGCAGAGTTTAACACCGCTGCCAGGGAAGGCAGACACGGTTCCCTTCATGGTAAGTCTTATGGTTTAAATTGGATTCCAGATATCATGACATCTTTCTCTACCTCCTGCGTGAGCCTCGGCCCCGTTCTGTCAAAACATGACATGTGTTCGCATGCCTTTAATCCAGCAGAGAAATATGACAACATTCCTCCACAATCACCTATATTTCTACATCTTGTACATCCATTTCACTAACAAGAGCAGGTTTAGAGAATTTCTACAGTTTTCTTTGATAGACACACACCATAACAAATTTATCTGAATTAAGAGGTATTTCAAGGGCTCAATTCAACAGGACGAAGCCCATTTAAAACTACAGGAACATACGCTGCCGTTTATTGAGAAGCTTTGCTGGAGGCGAGGGCCGCTCAACATACGTGGCTGAACATTATATAACACTCGACATGGCGCAATATCTTTTTCTTATTTTAGAATGTGTCAAGTTAATGAATTGTGTCTGAAGCAGTGAAGACACAGAAAGCTATTAGCTATAAACTATTACCACCTACTTGTTTCACTTTCTCGCTACGGAGAAGCATAACTTCACATGGTTAAAGCATTGGAACACTGAAGTGAAACTACAGCAATGTCTGACGACACTACATTCTCTGCAATGCAATACTAGAGCGCACGTGTGGCTCACTGGATTGTGGTCACTCTTGTGGTGTTTTACGTTAATACAAGAGGGGTTTTCAAACCAAGCACTTCCAAGATGATGCGATGCAACAGTCCACTTTCAGGCTTCAACTCATCTCAGATTTATCCGAACGACTTGCTCACCGTTCTTAAGTGTTAACAAATGATCTACATCAACATTGAGCATTTATCACATCGTGTTTTGCAAGGAAGAACCACGGACAGCAAAATGTCCTACTTACCGTCTTTATTCTGTAGAATGGGGAAGACATAATAAACAGACTGTTGGTTTCATGGCTACAAAGAAACAGCTGCTGCTGTTCCACATGCGCCTTGTTTTGATCAAGTTTAGAGATTGCTTTGGAAAAAGCAATTTCACCAAATGTCAAAATGCAAGTGAGCCAGATGTTTGCATGCAACAGATAGTCAAATATAGTGTGCTACCATCTTTATATATGGCTGTGTGCTCCTGGTGGGATACTCACCTTAAACCTACAATATCTCCCGTAATCAATTTTTCATTTTCCCGCCCCAATGTTCAGTATTTCCTTTGTTCTCCATCCTGCTTCTCTTCATCTCATTCCCCTTCATCTTATTTCCTGTACAATACAACTGATGACAAAAGAAATCCTCGAATGGCTGCATGTGTGATATTTCTGCCTTGCCAGCAGAGTTTCTGGTCTGTTAATTGAATTCTCAAGCTCACTCACTAACAACGTCTTTAATTAGGACATCACAAGGGTTCACTAATTCTCTCTATTCTATTCTCCTCTCGTCGCCTTTGTGTTCTGTCCTCCGAGCCATCATTTTCTTTCTTCTTCTCCTCCTCTTTTGCACACTCACAAGTTATTAAAAAACAATGTTGATTCGCACAAAGGTCTTTTGGTTCCTTTTTTCATAAATCATCATCATCATCGTGCCCAGTTTTGTTCATAACGGCAATATTAAAGACGTCATGGTGTCCAAGCGAACAGCGGCACCTATAAAGTGTTTAGGATACAGTTTCCTAACAAACAAGAAACAAGCACTCACTGTTTAATGCATCTGCAGAGGTCGGCTTTGCAGCAAAGACCGCAGTATATTGGCATATTGGTCGATGAGTCCAATGCAAATCTTCTATTACGCGTGTGTCCTCCTTACTTCAAAGGCCTTTAAAGTGCTGACGCTTGTGCCCAAATGTTACGTCAAAGAAATTTGGACGGATCCACTCAAGAGCTACGCACAGCAATACGGATTGCTCCGGCGCAGCTTCATTTGAGCCAGCTGGATTAGTTCGCCACTCCCCCAGAAAAAAAATGGCAGCTCTGTTCCTCATTGATGAAGGAGCGATATCGGTTAGATTCACGATTTGTAGAGAGAGAGAGTTCTCTGACATCAAAGATCTGTTATGACATCGCGATGGCGTCCTGGACGACCCCTACCGATGCTGAAGACAAGGAATCATTTATTTACAAAAAGATTTTCTCGAGGCGTAAGGCAACGTGGTGCACACCACACGCTGCAGCCGAGCATCCACCGTCCCACACAGTGGGAAACACAGTGGACATGTTTGTACAGTCTTGCGATGCAGAGAACATCTGTAAAGCCGCTGCATGTTGTGGTCTTCGTAAAGTTCTGTTGGTTCATTCGGCCCTTAATAAACTTCTGGATGTTCAAGGTTTCACTGCTTCCATTAATCGAATTTCTGATTATGAATAATATATATATATATATATATAATGATTCTCCCATACGCACATTAACACACATAATAAAACTCCTAGTTCTATATGGTCATCTACATATGATCCATAAGATGATACGAATGAATAGGATATACATACTGAATCAATTAGACTCTTTGGGCTTGTTTCCATCTACATACAGTATTTTGAAATGAGTTCGGAGTTGAGATCATTATTCTCATTGGATGATGATGCAGCCATGAAGCCTCCTGCAAGCAGGCACATTTAAAGAAATATAATCTGATTGATTAGTGAGCACTTACATTTTCCCAACACTTGCGCATTCAACTTTTACTCTGCAATATTTTGTCAGGCTTGTAGCCTGGCAGGGGGGGCGGTGTCAGTCTGTGCCATGATTATTTGATTCAATTAATTTACTATAGCACAGAATCACAAATTTGCCCCAGAGGGCTTTACAGCCTGTACACATGTGGCATCCTCTGTCCCAAAACACTCACATCGACACAGGAAAAAAGAAAAAGAAAAGCCATTGATGGAGAATAAAAGGTAAAAAACCTGAAACAGGTGGATCCTCCCCCGGGACAGACTGCGATGGACGTACAGAATGAACAACGTGAAAGATTTACAATACGTTCAATTTAAAGGTCCAGATAAAAGGTCTCACCCCCAAATGTTTCCCTCCTACACATCCACACTACCACCGTTTCACACGACCATGCACCCACCTTCTCTGTCGTCATGGCGAATGACGGCGTCCTGCACGGAGTCGGCGAGGCTGAAGCGGACGTGTCGCCTCTCGGGGCCGGTGGGCGGCGCTCGAACCTTGATCCCGCCTTGCTGGCGCTGAAGGCTCTTTTCCCTCTCGTAGTACGCCCGTATTTGGTCACAGCGCATCCTCCTGACCAGCCGCTGGCGCTGGCCGACGGGGAGGGACTCCAGCAGACACTGGTCTATCTCCATGTTTTGACGAAAGACATTACATAGCTGGAAACAACCTGAGGAGCAAAGAGGGGGGAAATTGGTGAAAACGCATTCGCTCACTACACCCTTTGCTGCGGTCTCATTAAGTGGAGACTCTCCTCTCCAGGCTCAACTTGGGTTAATGGTTTTGTGCACGTGCACACATGTTTGTCTGCAGTTGTGTGTTGTGGCATCCATTCAGTAGATTTTCTGTAAAAAGGATGTTTGCGGTGGGTTTCGCCTCAGGGCGACTTGATGGAAGCATCCCAGCGTTTGTTGAGTCGTCTCTCCCGACTCTCGGCGAGCAGGTTTCATCCGAGGCATCTGCTGAACCCGTTGAGGTCCGCTCGGATGACTCGGATGCGCAGGAGCTTGTGCAGTAGTTCAGACTCAGAAAGGCTCCATATCACATCCTTTGATGTTGCTGAGCCCTTCTGATGGGGGCGGGCAGGTTGCCGTTTCAACCGGTATACCGGTTTCAAATTTCCATACGGTATGAATTTTTCACACGGCGTCATTCCGATGTACAGCCGTAACACATGATGTTGCTCTTCGGCAGGCGGCAGAATTCATATACACCTCAGCGCTGAGCTTGCAGCGGTCGGAGCTACTTGTCTCGCGTGTACCAAGATTGAGTCATGGATATAACGCTATACAACAATTAATAACCCACAACAACAAACGCTCTTTAACAGGGTAAAACACCACGGCACAAATGTTTATGACACAAACAATTTGTAACACTAATAATTGTACAGTTATAAAATTACCCCGCCGAACACAACAAGGAGTAATTGACTTCTAAATGAAAACGCGGAAAAGGGCGATGCAGGATCACAACAGCTAACATGCTAACAAGCTAGATCGAGAGTTGTGCAGCAAGCGGTGAACAGCGGTCCTTTTCGGGGGTCAATGAATGAATTTAGGAAAAAAGATTAAAAACAGTGATAGCGTCAGAATCTTACTAACTATATAGGCGTTTTGGCCAAACCGCCCAGCCCTACTTTCTGCTGTGCAAGAGATCGTGGGAGCCGGAGAAGCATGATGCTTGCACACCACCAAAATGTCATAGGATGCAGCAGGACATCCTGGTATTTATTAATTTCACATGTTATAATGAGATATAAAAATATTGTTTTGGCAAATTGGTACGAGTAAAAATCAAGAGGGACGCATACAAAGAAAAACGTATTACACAAGAGGTTTAAAGTGAATTGATGAGTCACTTACAGCACTGATGATCGGACAAATACAAATTCAGGTCACAGTCACCCCCCGAAGCACGAGCAAAATGTGAGGAGGAGGACGTCTTGTCTCTCTGAATCACCACCTCATCCCTCTACGGACCCTTCGGTGTCTAACCTCCTTTTTTTAAGTCAAACTCAACTATGTTGCGCTCGTTCCCATTTTTTTGGGACCATCTTTGTTTCTCCAATAATCTCCAGAGGTTCTCTGGATTTCTACTTTATTTTCGTTTGAAGGGAGACTGAGCGCACGTGTGGAAAGTGTCGTCAGTGGGACACCTTTGAAGTCCTCCATGTTGTCCCACAACCCTGGGTTTATACAATAAACTGGCGTTTCTTCTCTGCAGGAGCTGCTGAGGTGTGTTTGGACTAGATCTTTACCGGGCAGAGACAAAGACGTCCAGGCAGACAAATGGAGGCGCTGTCTGTCACAAGTGTGCACGCACACGCACACAAACACACACACACGGACACACAGCCATCTGCTCTGGTTAGACTTGTGAAAAAGGTTCTTTGTGTTCATGTTGCAGACAAGGGGGTGGGTGGTCTGTATTTCACTGTTCATGCCAGGTGTCTGCTTCAACTGTATTTTATTTTGGTAACTTGTCTGCACATCGAGCAGAAAACCAAACTACAAAAAACAACGACTGGCTTTTTAATAAATACCACTCCGTCCCCCCACAGCCTGGCTGGCTCAGATCACATTATTGCCCACCTCTTCCTCCCTCTGCTCACCTCTTGTACTCGGGCCATCTTGAAAGGCAACTTGCACGAGTAGCCGTGGTGTGTGTGTTCAATCTGTCCACAGTGCACACCTGTACAAGTGTACATGTTGCCATGATCTACTGCATGCTGACACGCAACTTTCCCCACGTGTGACGGTCGTCTCTTCCCTGGTTTGGTATGTCCTTCACACTCTGTCCACCTCATGTAGATGCATCATCTACTGCGCAGGCATTCAAGGCTCCGGCCACATCGACCTCCCATAAACTCATATTACATACAAACAGGAGTCCCTCGCGAGGCATGTGCAGGACATAGTAGAGGGACATCCGTTTCCTACATCAAGAAATGCTTGTCCCCGTTGCGTAATAAACCCTGTCTCAATAAATAATTAACGATGTATGGTCTGTGCAGTAAAAGGTTGACTTTAACGATACAGTTCACACGTGGCACTAAATGTCTTAATGTGTGAAGACGGAAAACTCCCCTCGAGGTGTGTGTTGCTTCATGCGATGTGGCGGAGTTCATGGTTAATAGATTTCAGTCCTGAGTATTTAGTTATCCTTTGTTTTTAGATGAAGACATCAAATACAGCCAGTACAGGCAACAAAGATCAATACTAATTTGCCCTGAGTCAATGATTACTTGAATTTTTTTAAATCCAGTTTTTAAATGTATGTAATATCCCATCAACCCTCCCCATGAAAAGCCACATTATTCCTACTTAATTTCCACATTTGAAAAAATAAACGTTGACATAATATCTACTTTGAATCGCCACGTGAAAATAGAAAGAGGAAAAGAGCGTTGTTTAATGTGAAACAGGGCTGAATGTATCTGGGCGACGTAGACGAGACACAAAGAGGAATTGAAAGCAGAAGCTTCCTTCTCCCTTCACCTCAGTTTGGATCATTGTCGAACATCCCATGCAGACTCCGGCTTGTAACACTGCAGGACCTTGTAAATGCAGAAGACCGCATACAGACATGTGGGGGCACACACACACACACACACACACACATACATATATAGATATCATGCATGTTTAGATAGATTGGCAACATGCATCACTTCCATGATAGAATTATATATATATATATATATATTAAAATATATATATATATATATATATATATATATTTTAAACGATCCCTCTCTTTCTCATCATCCTTTTAAATATCAGCATCCCTCTCCTTCAGTCCTCCACCAGTGTGCTCATCCTTTTTCCGCACCACTCCGTCATAAGTCACCCCCCCCTTTCCATTTCCCAATCCTGCAACCCTTATATCTGCAACACTAAATCCCCCTTAGACTCTCTCCCTTTTTCCTTCTCTCTCTCTCTCTCTCTCTCTCTCTCTGTTCGTTCCTTGCTGTCTTATGGGATCTGCGTCTGCAGGACTCTTTCCCTCTGCCAGTACCTGCCGCATTCACCGGTCAACTTCACACATCTGCAGCAGCTCTCTGCAGCACCCTCACACACTCAGACATGCTGCACGCACACACAGGTAGACATTTGAAGTTCAGGTCGTGCTGCTGCAACGACAGCCGGGGAGCAGAATTCCTCAGCACATAAGCTCACGGTATAAAGAGTATAATGACACTGCATATATGACGAGGCACCTGCACACGCCGACATGCACAGAAAGACACGGCGAAAGGCTACTTACAGCATTTGATGAAATGGTAGTGAGACATTTTCTGATAAGTCAGACAGTTCGCCAGTCAGGTAGAAAGGAAGGAAGGTGGGCGGGAAGCCGGGCGGTGCAGCAGGCAGGCAGACAGTGGGCAGCTACAGGTCCCTGCAGGACGAACGCAGCGCTCGGAACCCGGCAGGACGCATTACTAATCTGGCACCCAGCATGCTGTCCATACGCCGCTTCCTTGTCTGCATTATTCACCAGCAGGTCCGGTTGCAGCCCATGCGGCATCTACATGTGCACAGACCCTGACCCAACCACGCACACACACACACACACACACACACACACACAAACACACACACACACGCAAACACATTCACTCCCTAGATCAAGCGGAGGGGAGCTTCGGTGTTTCTAGCTCTGCTCGCCCACAGCCAGATAAGCACCGCGCAGCGTCTTCCCAGCCGAGAAGCGACGCACGTGCTCCTCTCGCGTCACTGACTGACAGCCGGCTCGGCCCACCCCACCCGCTCAACACACCCCCAATGACGTAATGCTCTTCGCCTCCTTACACACCCCCGCTCCAGTCTCCCATCTCGCTCACGCACGCGCAGTGACTGATAAGGACGCACACATCTGCCATCGAAAGGCAAAGAAAAAAGGAGGGAGGAATTCATTCCTGCTAGTCTACATTTAGGAAGGAGGAATTCTGAGAGAGCGCATGGGCAGTCATTGGTGAAAACGGAAAGGAAACGGGTTAAGATGGGAAATTGCGGGAATGCAGATACAGCAGGGGGAGCAAGAGTAGGAAAAAAAACAGAGCGAGAGAGAGAGAGTGTGTTGAATAGGTGGAAAGAGTGAGACGCTACTGCAGTGCGGCTTTTGGTGGCGACATGTTAAGTACAAATTAACTAAGTGTAGTTTAGTAGGAAGGTAAGGGGCCGAGAACCAGCACGTTGACGCACACTCCATGCGTTGATCCAAACACACACACACACACACACACAGTGTGTGCTTGCCGTGTTCGTAGCGGAAATCTGACTTTCTGCTTTAAGGCTAATTTGCATATATGAATACCACGGCTTTGATTAGAAAGATGATTTTTTTTTGTGGTGAGAAGTTGAGGATAAACGAGTGAGGAAGAGTGGGGGCGGAAAAGAAAAGCCGGGAGAGAGAAGCGGGGAAAACCACGGATCAAGAAAGATGGCTTAATGAAGTGGGACCGAAGCAAGCTCGTAACATTTAGAAATCTGAGCCCGAGCGCTCGCTCATCTGCAGGTTATGTAGCTGCAAATTCTGAAGGGCGGAGGGTGGGGGGCCTGTGGAGAGGAGATTGGCTGAGAGAAGCAGGTTGGCGAGGGGACGGAACGGAGACGGAGCAGCAGACAGGTTGACAAAGACTAGGAGACGTGCGTGCGTCAGACTGAATGAGAGTAATTCCTTTCATAGAAAATCAGGTCACCGAAGCAACTTGCTGCATGTTCAGCGTAACACTGCCGGAGCAACGTAAACATGGACCAGAGGAAAGTGAGATGACAAGTTCTTGTCTGTCTATATGCGCACGCATGCACATACACATTTATGTCTATATCTGCAGGGGGCGGGAGGGGGGCGTGTCCTCCCAATTTCTACCCCTCGACGACATTTGGGTGAAGCACTTGGACCGTGAGGTACACAGAGTGGATGTACATTGTATGAAATTCTTATAAATAATAGAGAGAAGTGGTTCATTAAATGGGCCATTTACAAATGCAGCAATTATACTGTAGAAACCCTTTTAGAGCAAATACATCGATTCTATTATGGGCACTGACGCTGACAACGAGGGACCTTTGATGAAGGACATTTTCTACTACGGGATTTATTAAACATGAAGACATTTATTCTGCTACATTATTAACCAAATGGGATATATTTTACAAGTTGCTTTTCATTTATTGCAAGTTTTAGTACTATTTACTTGTGTTATTTAACATTTTACATTGACACACTGGCCCAATATACACAGGGTCTCTCTACAGACCACCAAAACAGACCGGCTACAGACCACCAAAAGACTTTAACAGTGTTGAGGGGATAGCATGATGTGCAAAATTCATAACATAGTTATAGGACCTTTTAAGGACGAAGAACTATATAAGGGTTTAGGATAAGAAAAGGACATAAAGTGCCCATGTTCTAACCTTACAAGACCAAAAACCTTTTCATAATAAAAGTAGTTTTACCAAAGTATTATAAGAGGTATAAAGTCATCCGTATTGACACACCTATATATGTGCAGGTGTTCTTTGTTTTTCTTATTTTTATATGTCATCTAAAACTGTAAAGCGCAAAATATATACGTTGGTGTTGCGGTGTGTGTGTGTGTGTGTGTTATGGACAGAAGTGACAGCAGTTCTGCGAGGAGATGTGATGCCCAAGTGCAGGTGGAGAAAGTTTCTTCATAAAAAAAGGTTTGAGACAATGACCGATTTAAAGTTCCAACGTAGCCACTTATCTCCATTGTCTCCTTCCGTCTGTACCTTAACCGCTCTCCTCTGTAGCCTCAAGGTCCAAGTCATTGGATGTGAGAATTTACACTCATTTGTTGCTATCAGGGGAACAAGAACCTGTATATCTTACATATGTAATGTGTGGTATCAAACCGAATGTCGTCTCCGGCCAAATTATATTTTACACTGTAGTATTCTCAGACGTTATTTTTCCGTCTTGCCGGTTCCTTCTGTCCACTTATATTAAAAACACACAGTACTTTTTTATCTTTATAGTCACATGCTTGTTTTTTGGAGGATCAGTAACAACATGCAGTATATAACCGCCTGCTTGGATGTTTAACAAATGCTGAATTACTATAAAAGCTTGAAAAAAAGAAATAAGGTTTCCTATGCACACAGTGGAATCTATTAATAATCTGCATCACCCTTTAGAATGATTATATTGCAATCCAAACATTTATCAATCCAAAACAGAAGCTCAATCCAGGTTTGAACTGAACAGCAGAGAAGTTAAAAGCCTATAGCAGCTGTGTCGGTGAGGTCCAGGGTGGGTTGTTGCCTGCAAAGATCTAGATGCTTCTCTGCACGACGCTGCAGAGCACCGAGAAACTCCACTGAATCAAATAGAGGTTTATGTGCCTTGCTCAGGTCCATATCGATGTTAATTAAGCTGCACCGTGCAGTTTATGAGCGTTCAGGGGCAGAAAAACCCACAAGCAAGTTATAGCCTTGACAAAATATTAGCCTAGACCGTTCTCATGGATAACGGCGGCCTGCTGATGAGTCCAGAAACGAGATACTTTGCATCCCACTGGAGTATTTCCTCTGCAGCTACAACTCAGCGTTGAGTCACAGAAAACGTATGAATGCATTAGTGGTGAAACATGACGGAGGTGGTATTAGTAGTAGTAGTACTGTAGTTTTGCCGGGTGTCTCTTTGAGCAGGCATTGATCGAACGGGCACGGCGGAGTTTCCTGCCCGTAAATCCGCTTTATGGACATCGCCTGACGCGCGGCCGGCGACGTCCCCGTTGCTTGCTGTTTGTTTCAAATAGAAAGAACCCAAACACGCTGTCCTTGTTAATCCTTTTAAGAGACACTGTGCTCAATGACATCGATACTTGTGTAGGTAGAAATTGTCTCAGTCATTCAGGGTATTTAACGTCAACTTCTTTTGGTAACTGAAAGGTGTCCGAAGCACAGACGATCCTCGGATCACTTAATGAATTCAGTCTGCATCCTATTCAGGCAACATGTTCATGCAGCTCCACATATGAACCACTATCATTATCGTTTTGGTAGTTTGGCTTCTTTTTGTTTGCATGTGAGGAGTGTTTGTATCGGCAATATTATTGAGAAGTAGCAAACTACGCGAGGAACATGGCAAATACAATACAAAATAATAGAGAGATGAACTCCCCAAATTCCCTCTAAATCAAGGAAACCTCAAGATCACGATTCATCCAGTAGCTTTCCAGAGGAGCCAACCACAGAATATGAGGTGGCCGGCGTATACCGCGACAGCGAGGCGTGGCCGGACGAGGGAGCGGCCGCGGGAATCGTCTGTAATCTCACAGCGGTGAAGGTGAGTGCAGGACAGAGGTGTAACATCTGTAGCCTCTTCCAGTCGGCAGATTGCTACGAATGGAGCCCTAGAAGACTGACGAGGCTCATTATTGCTGCGGGCTAAGGGGTGATAAGAAAAGCACATGATGCCATCCTGAGCGAGGGGGAGCAGAGAGAAAAAAGAAAACCGTCCATTTGACAGACAGATGAAGGGAATTCGAATCAGACAAAGGCAGTGTGAGGCAAAAGGAGAGACGTGGGAATCAATAGCTTGAGCCGGTTTCGTTCCCCCTCACACTTCATGAACGACTTACTATTCGCCTATAATTGTGTCCCTCCGAAATCGCCTCCACTCATCTCGTCGACCCCGAGAGCTGGAGGCAGGTGCATCACTCCCTCTGTGCTCTTTTGTCTCCCCTGTACCGGCCTCTTCCTCTAGCTCACAGTTTAAAGCAACAGGCACAATGGAACACAAAGGAGCGCTGCGAGCTTCGGCCAAAGAGACAATCAATAACTAGACCAACAAAAGCGCGGCGCGATGTGAGGAGCTCCCGAATAGCTCGTTTGGGTCTCGGCTGACTGAGAGTGAGGACCAGGCCCACTGGCACCACTCAGGAGGCGGACAGACGCCTGCCCAGTTGGGTCGAACTCCGGACCCACGTCGCCACGCTGCTTATGTTATTACGACGGTGCCATCCAGCTGCTCAAAGCCAAGTCGCAATGCCCTCAAATACGTGCTGTGTATGTGAGGAGTGTCCATAAACAACAAACAAATATACTTAAACAGCAGTTTATATTTTTGGGGGCGGAAGAAAAGACAAATTGACATTATTGAGTGATGCAAACGGGTAGTGGGGGAGAGCAGCTGGATAAAGTCTACATAGTTATCAGTGTAATAATTAGGTTTGATAGTCAGGATGTGAAGAAAATAACTTTAAAGCAGGACAATTATTGATTTTAATATGGAAATTATATTTTATTTTAAGGACCAAACTACTTTTTTCACTTCCATGCTGGGCTACATCCTACGACTTAAAATCAGCTTGTTATTCACTAGTTTGTTTTTGTCTTCAGCAGCAACATTCTGCAAAAAGCAAGAGCGCTTTGATCGCCCCTCCGTGGCCAGCTGTTTGTTTAGGAAGCACACACACGTGTTTAATTTAGAGATGCCCAAACTGGAATGGCGATTATAATTTATTTATTGTTCGACCTCACTTCATGGGACCATCTGTGTTGCAAATTGTGACTACTTGTAAATAGGACACTGAAATTAAATGATGCAGATATTCAACAAATATTGACCTAATAAGTGGATAAGACAAGGTTGCTAGTTTGCTAAGTTGTTACAAAAGGGAAACAAAGATCTTCCTATTTTGCTGTAAATTCCACAATCTGAAAATCAGGTTTTAA